AGTTTGGGGCTGCCAAGATACGCAGGAGTATCTGAAAGATGCCTAAGGGCTTCCACAAAGCGCCAGCCAGAATGAAAATGAATTTCCCGTAAAGGTTTGACCCTACAGGGGATTCCAGGTGTATCTAAAAGATGTATGAGCCGTGGGGGAGGTGCAGATGGGTAAAATAATAAAAATAAATAAATAAATTAAAATAAAACATATTTTCATGGAGTAAACTGCAATGGGGTAACTGGAATGGCTAGGCCATAGGCAAAATGGGGAAAACAGGGGGCAAAAAGTTGTTGACGATGCCAACAACACGCGGTGTTCCCAAGCGGTCCCCCATCTAAGTACTAACCGCGCCCGACGCTGCTTAATTTCGGTGATCGGACGAGAACCGATGTATTCAGCGTGATATGGTCGTTGGCGAAAGTCGCAGGGTTAATCTATAGCTTTATATTTTGGTTGAACGCCTAACCTGTGTGTTATTTGGGGCTGCCAAGATACGCAGAAGTATCTGAAAGATGCCTAAGGGCTTCCACAAAGCGCCAGCCAGAATGAAAATGAATTTCCCGTAAAGGTTTGACCCTACAGGGGATTCCAGGTGTATCTAAAAGATGTATGAGCCGTGGGGGAGGTGCAGATGGGTAAAATAATAAAAATAAATAAATAAATTAAAATAAAACATATTTTTCATGGAGTAAACTGCAATGGGGTAACTGGAATGGCTAGGCCATAGGCAAAATGGGGAAAACAGGGGCAAAAAGTTGTTGACGATGCCAACAACACGCGGTGTTCCCAAGCGGTCCCCCATCTAAGTACTAACCGCGCCCGACGCTGCTTAATTTCGGTGATCGGACGAGAACCGATGTATTCAGCGTGGTATGGTCGTTGGCGAAAGCCGCAGGGTTAATCTATAGGTTTATATTTTGTTTGAACGCCTAACCTGTGTGTTATTTGGGGCTGCCAAGATACGCAGAAGTATCTGAAAGATGCCTAAGGGCTTCCACAAAGCGCCAGCCAGAATGAAAATGAATTTCCCGTAAAGGTTTGACCCTACAGGGGATTCCAGGTGTATCTAAAAGATGTATGAGCCGTGGGGGAGGTGCAGATGGGTAAAATAATAAAAATAAATAAATAAATTAAAATAAAACATATTTTTCATGGAGTAAACTGCAATGGGGTAACTGGAATGGCTAGGCCATAGGCAAAATGGGGAAAACAGGGGGCAAAAACTTGTTGACGATGCCAACAACACGCGGTGTTCCCAAGCGGTCCCCCATCTAAGTACTAACCGCGCCCGACGCTGCTTAATTTCGGTGATCGGACGAGAACCGATGTATTCAGCGTGGTATGGTCGTTGGCGAAAGCCGCAGGGTTAATCTATAGGTTTATATTTTGTTTGAACGCCTAACCTGTGTGCAGTTTGGGACTGCCAAGATACGCAGGAGTATCTGAAAGATGCCTAAGGGCTTCCACAAAGCGCCAGCCAGAATGAAAATGAATTTCCCGTAAAGGTTTGACCCTACAGGGGATTCCAGGTGTATCTAAAAGATGTATGAGCCGTGGGGGAGGTGCAGATGGGTAAAATAATAAAAATAAATAAATAAAATAAAATAAAACATATTTTTCATGGAGTAAACTGCAATGGGGTAACTGGAATGGCTAGGCCATAGGCAAAATGGGGAAAACAGGGGGCAAAAAGTTGTTGACGATGCCAACAACACGCGGTGTTCCCAAGCGGTCCCCCATCTAAGTACTAACCGCGCCCGACGCTGCTTAATTTCGGTGATCGGACGAGAACCGATGTATTCAGCGTGGTATGGTCGTTGGCGAAAGTCGCAGGGTTAATCTATAGCTTTATATTTTGGTTGAACGCCTAACCTGTGTGTTATTTTGGGCTGCCAAGATACGCAGGAGTATCTGAAAGATGCCTAAGGGCTTCCACAAAGCGCCAGCCAGAATGAAAATGAATTTCCCGTAAAGGTTTGACCCTACAGGGGATTCCAGGTGTATCTAAAAGATGTATGAGCCGTGGGGGGAGGTGCAGATGGGTAAAATAATAAAAATAAATAAATAAAATAAAATAAAACATATTTTTCATGGAGTAAACTGCAATGGGGTAACTGGAATGGCTAGGCCATAGGCAAAATGGGGAAAACAGGGGGCAAAAAGTTGTTGACGATGCCAACAACACGCGGTGTTCCCAAGCGGTCCCCCATCTAAGTACTAACCGCGCCCGACGCTGCTTAATTTCGGTGATCGGACGAGAACCGATGTATTCAGCGTGGTATGGTCGTTGGCGAAAGTCGCAGGGTTAATCTATAGCTTTATATTTTGGTTGAACGCCTAACCTGTGTGTTATTTGGGGCTGCCAAGATACGCAGGAGTATCTGAAAGATGCCTAAGGGCTTCCACAAAGCGCCAGCCAGAAAGAAAATGAATTTCCCGTAAAGGTTTGACCCTACAGGGGATTCCAGGTGTATCTAAAAGATGTATGAGCCGTGGGGGGAGGTGCAGATGGGTAAAATAATAAAAATAAATAAATAAATTAAAATAAAACATATTTTTCATGGAGTAAACTGCAATGGGGTAACTGGAATGGCTAGGCCATAGGCAAAATGGGGAAAACAGGGGGCAAAATGTTGTTGACGATGCCAACAACACGCGGTGTTCCCAAGCGGTCCCCCATCTAAGTACTAACCGCGCCCGACGCTGCTTAATTTCGGTGATCGGACGAGAACCGATGTATTCAGCGTGGTATGGTCGTTGGCGAAAGTCGCAGGGTTAATCTATAGGTTTATATTTTGGTTGAACGCCTAACCTGTGTGTTATTTGGGGCTGCCAAGATACGCAGGAGTATCTGAAAGATGCCTAAGGGCTTCCACAAAGCGCCAGCCAGAATGAAAATGAATTTCCCGTAAAGGTTTGACCCTACAGGGGATTCCAGGTGTATCTAAAAGATGTATGAGCCGTGGGGGGAGGTGCAGATGGGTAAAATAATAAAAATAAATAAATAAAATAAAATAAAACATATTTTTCATGGAGTAAACTGCAATGGGGTAACTGGAATGGCTAGGCCATAGGCAAAATGGGGAAAACAGGGGGCAAAAAGTTGTTGACGATGCCAACAACACGCGGTGTTCCCAAGCGGTCCCCCATCTAAGTACTAACCGCGCCCGACGCTGCTTAATTTCGGTGATCGGACGAGAACCGATGTATTCAGCGTGGTATGGTCGTTGGCGAAAGTCGCAGGGTTAATCTATAGCTTTATATTTTGGTTGAACGTCTAACCTGTGTGTTATTTTGGGCTGCCAAGATACGCAGGGGTATCTGAAAGATGCCTAAGAGTTTGTACAAAGGATCTTAACAGAATTTCTTTCGAAATGGACCGTTAGGAGATTCTAGTGCCAAAAAGACGTATGAGTTGTTATAGGGGGCGTGGACAGGTCAAATAATAAAAATAAATTAGTTTTATAAGTAAATACTACAGTCTATTTTCAGTTAATATTATTACCTTATAGAATCAAGTTTTTAATTTAGCCCAATTAAAAATATTTAACGTTTTAGCCACAAAAATGTTTCAATCGCTGCATTAATTGTATTGTTTTTTGTTTATATTAAAATGATAATATTTTCTATGAATGTTTGATGACAAATTTTTTTGTGTTTATATGTGTTATGATTCATTTATGTCTTAATTAAATTTTTGTAAGTCTTTATAAATGTCTAGGAGGCTTTTGTATAGACATCATAAATTGCTTTGAGTCATCTCAGACACGGGCATGAAAGAATTTGAATGGTGAAACTAATCTCCATGGATACTCATTAGGAAACATAATAAAACGCAAATTAAGCATGACAGCTCATTTATTCTTAGTTTAATTATTTTTTGAATGAAAGCCTGCTATGAAAAAGGGCCAGAAAAGTTTCTTATAATTATTTATTCAGGAATTATTAAAAAAATTAAATTTTTTTCTCTAAAAAAGTTTAATTTATGTGGTAAATTGGCCAAGTAAATTTAAATTGGCAACGGGAAATCTATTATATTAGTCGCTTGAAGACTTCCTATTTTTGGCGGGGTTTCCCGAATTTTGTTATAGGAAATACCTACCTCTACAGAGTCTTTCCAGCGATTAGGTGAAGAAGTCGTTGATCTCGTTTGGCACTGAAGCGTCACAAATGCTTTCTCCCCTGGCGCGCGATGATGGATAATTTGGCATTAGCTTGGAATACCAGTAGCGAGGAGAATTTGCAGAATCAATTAGGTAAAATTTAAAATTTAAATCAATGCCCGCAGCTATTTAAAAATTAATTTTTACCTGGCGCTACCCGCACTTTCATCGTCGCGTCGTCATCGAAGTCCGTGAGAAAGACAAACTGAGTTAATGGCCATTGCCCCATGTTTGCTAACAAATATTCGCATCAATCTGAGCAACTAATGACCGACTAGCAGACAAATCAAGTTCGAGCTGTCGCGGCTGCTCTTTAAATTTCCCTTTTACTTGCACTCCAACAGATGAGCCAAAACCAGAGCGTCTAAATTAGTTCTTGCACCGAAAAAAATTTGCTACTAGTTTTCTATATTTATAGAATTAAATATAAATAATAAAGTATATCCTTTCAATGGAAAAACCAAAAAAGTATGACAATAGGGGAATTTTTTTAAAATTGTACAGAATTATTTAATATTTTTGTTTTAAATCAAAATATTTTACATAACTGTTTCTAAAATAGTGTTCTACGTTTAAAAGTTATTTGAAATTCATTAGATTTTTTTTATGTTAATTATTTGCATAAATCTTTGGCTCGAGCCAAGGGGACGCCGCATCATTTGCAGTTCGTTTCGCATTTTGTTTTAGCCAGTTTCCGTTTGGCAACTCTTCTTTTGGCTATTTCGGTCAATCTTGGGGTGAAACTTTGGGTCAGAGCGGACTAAAATCTATTGACTCCGGCCAGCTACAGATCAGTTGCGTTCAGAGCGCCATCGAGAGTGTTATATCCGCGGATTAAAAAAAATGCAACTCAGGTGTTCAGTGTTTGTCCTACTTGTGGTCCTTCGATATGGGATAGAGGCTCGGGTTCGAGGCCGGCAATATGATGAGGAGAAAGACACAATCGTCGAATTAAATAAGTTAGGCACCATCCAGGGGAAAATTCTGGAGACCGCCTGGACCAAACGTGAGGTGTTACAGTTCGTCGATGTTAGATATGCAGAACCACCCACCGGGCAGCATCGATTTAAGGTAGCGAAGCCTTAAATTAAATTGTTTTGGAACCTAAAGAAATGTAGAGTGTAGCACAGTTAATCAATTTGTCAACATTCCAAATATTTTTTCTTTTTGCTTCGCTGATGAAACAAATTAGAGATGTATTTAGTCATAAATTTTGTGGGCTAAAATGGCATAAGAGTTTCGCGAAACCGACTGCCAAGAAATTCAAATAGAAATGTTTAACTTCATTGGAGAATCGTTTTCTCCTACCGCAAAACTTTCAAAATTATGTTAATTTACTTAAAGGCAATATTTAAGCCAATATTAATTTAATTCCCAAATACTTGTACGAAATTGGAAAAAAAAAGTTGACCTCCCCGACGGGGAATTGAACCCCGGTCTCCCGCGTGACAGGCGGGGATACTAACCACTATACTATCGAGGATATGGAATTTTGTGGGTAGAATGTCAGAATTCCAGGTGCGAGCAGGTGTAAAGAAAGCAGCGATTATAATTAGATTATAAAATCTATATTATAAACTCAACAAACATGAAATGATTCATCGCCAGACACAATTTTAGGAATTGTTAATCTGTGTTTAATATTTTAAATCGTAAATTGTAAACCTTAATTATAAATCAAAATATAATAATGATTAGTATTTCTTGTTGATAGGCTTTTTAGCTAACACCTCAACATGTTGAACTCTCACGTTTTCTTGAAAAATTCACCTTTTTGTTTCTATTGTAGCCTCCTCGCCCCATCGAGCCATGGGAGGATGTGATGGACGCCACGGCGGAAAAGATTGGCTGCCCCTCGGTGGTATCCATGGACAACCTGCGGCAACTCGACGACGTTTTGGATGTGGAGGATTGCTTGACGATGACCATCACCACACCGAATGTGACTGCCCGATTACCTGTGCTGGTCTACATTCATGGAGAGTACTTGTATGAAGGAAGCAATTCGGAAGCTCCTCCAGATTACCTTCTTGAGAAGGATATTGTGCTAGTGACGCCGCAGTACCGTCTCGGACCTTTCGGCTTTCTGTCCACGAAGACGGATGAGATTCCGGGTAATGCCGGGTTTTTGGACATTTTCCTTGCCTTACAGTTTGTGAAGCACTTTATTTCATCGTTTGGAGGCGACCCCGAACGAGTGACGGTTGCTGGACAGGTGGGAGGAGCCGCTATCGCCCATCTGCTCACTCTTTCGCCGATGGTGCAGCGAGGTCTCTTTAGTCAGGTGATTTACCACTCCGGGTCCGCAATCATGCCTATTTTCCTGGAGGAGGATCCGCGTAAGCACGCCCAGGAGATTGCCAAGAAAGCCGATTGCCAGATGGTGACGGTACGAGACTTAAATACCTGCCTAATGGAGCTCACGGCTTTGGAGTTACTAACCGCCTTTATGGAGCATGCGGTAAGTAGTTTTCAAGACCTATGGAACAAACTATTCAAACACAAAGAAACAAATTTAAGTATATTTATTCTTTATTTTTGTCTAGTTGGAAAAATCGGATCTCGGCATTGGACACACTGGTGGCATACAGTTTACTATAGGTGGGCCCAGTGGGGTTTTACCCAAGCACCCTTATGATCTCATGTTGGAGTCGAACTTCTCCTATCCTGCCATGGGTGGCTGTCCCAAGAATGCTGGCACCCGTGTCCTAAACGAGATTGTTGACAATGACTTCGAAGGCAAGATTCCGGACGATGAGTACAACACGTATAACTACATTGACCACGTAATTCGTCAGGTGGTGGGCACCGACAAGACCATGCTCCTAACCAGTTTTGTTACCCACGACTTTTTCAACCGACACCTCTTGGAGAACGGAACATTCGACACCTTGATTCCACGGCTAATTGATGTGAGTATTTCATAAAGTTATTGGATTGGAATGTTTCCTAAAATCTTTTGTCTGTCTCAGGTGGCTGGTACCTTGAACCATAAGCTACCCGTTCTGCTCGCCCTAAACATGAACAATAAGCACAATCCGGACAACACGTTCCTTTATTCCTTCGACTATGCCGGCGAATTCAATCGGTATCGGGAGATGGACGAGGAAACTAACATGCAGAGTCCCTTTAAGGCGGGTGTTTCTTTGACCGACGAGGCTCTCTACCTATTCCCGTATCCCGATCATGTGAAACGTCTCAGTCCCCCGGATGTGACAATGGCCCATCGAATGGTGGAGCTTTGGACTAATTTTGTGATTAGCGGTAACCCGTTAGGCTCTTACCGCTCCGGCTACTGGCCACCCATGACCACCCTCTACGGACCCTATATGAAGATCGATGAGACGCTGACAATCGGAGGCAACTACTTCAATGAGTTCTCGGCCACTCTGCGGGACGAGGATGAGGGCCACAGTCTGATTCGTGAGATATATTACTTGCGCAGCCGGAGCAGGAAACGAGCTCAAGCCAAGCGGCGGAAACAGTTGGCGGCTTCGAAGGCTAACCGGCTGAAGAAGTCTGAAGCCCGGAAGAGTCTCGTAAAGCGACCGAATCGCAACAAGATACGTTTTTAAGGACAACCTTTAACCAGTATATATTAAGATTAAGTTTTTAGATGGAATACCCACTTTTCCTGCTTCTTACCATTACACTTGTGTTGAAATCTGAGATTGTAGTACATACATACATATATTTATTAAAGAGGCTAAGCACAAAAGATATGGTTTTATTTTGTTTTTATTGTAGGGCTTCACAACAGTAAATCATAAAATTAAAATATTTCCGGGCAATGTTTGTTTCCTCAATCTCAAAAATAATGGCTGTGGTTAACATCTCAAATGATAAAGATTTGTTTTTTTTTTCATTTTTAATCGTAGTGTTTATTAAATTTTATTTTGCAATGCATGAACTTATAAGAAAGTCGCGACAATTTACTGGCGGCGATCTTGCTGGCGGTGGATAAGCTTAGTGTGCCTTGGGGCGTTCAAAAATCTTCTGAATTCAACGGTGTAAGGGATTGGCTGGTGGGATTGGCGAGCAGCTTCTTCCGCCGCCTCCGCCTGGGCAAATTGTCGTTCCTCCTCCTCCCTGAGAGCCCGATCGCGCTCCTCCTCCTCCTGACGGAGCTTTAACTGAGCCTGCACGTAATCCTCATAGGTGGCGTAGTTGCTGGGATCGTTTTGTGGGTCCACTTCGGGTTGATTCTCTTGGTCCTGGCCAACCGACTCTTCTTGGGGACCCTCGTAACCTGGATAGCCGGCCGACTGGCCATACTCCTGTTCTTGCTCCTGGCGCAGCTGATCCCTGCGCTGTTGTTCGCGCTCTTGCTCTTCGTCGTAGTTACGATCCGAGTCGGATTCCGATGGTCTACCTTCCTGCTGGGAGCGCACATAGTCTTCGTAGCTAGGATAACGAGATGGGTCGTTGTCGGACTGCCCCTGGGACTGTTCCTGTTCCCGTTCTTGCTGCTCGCGCTCTCGTTGCAATCGTTCTTCGTATTCCCGGCGCTCCTGCTCACGGAGCTGCCTCTCCTGCTCTAGTCGCTCCTGTTCGCGCTGCTGTTCCTGATCCGATTCTGGAGATTGCTCTCCTTGCTGGCCCCTCGCGTAGTCTTCGTAGGTGGGATACGGCTGACGACCGTCTTCCGGATTTTCTTCAGGCTGCCCCTCTTGTTGCTCGCGTTCCTGTTGCTCCCGTTCTCGCTGCTGACGCTCTTGCTCCAACCGTTCTTCATCCTCTCGCTGCTCCTGCTCTCGTTGCTGCCTTTCTTGCTCTAATCGCTCCTGTTCGCGCTGTTGCTCTTCGGCATAGTTGCGTTCAGGATCAGATTCTGGAGACTGTTCTCCTTGCTGGGACTTCACGTAGTCTTCATAGGTGGGATACGCATGAAGATTGTCTTCAGTATTTTTATCGGGCTGATACTGGTCTGGTTGCTCGCGTTCTTGTTGCTCGCGTTCTCGCTGCTGCCGATCCTGTTCCAATCGTTCTTCATATTCGCGTCGCTCCTGCTCCCGTCGCTGATCTTCTCGCTCCTGTTGCTCCCGTTCTTGTTTTTGGCGTTCTTGCTCAGCAAAGTCGGGAGTGATCTCTCTACCATAGGCATCATATGTCACTGGATCTCGATTAAGCACGGCACGCCACCCCTCCTGCTGCTCTCGGCGTTGTTGTTCGCGCTGTTGTTGCTCCCGCTGTTGCTGTTCACGCCATTGCTGTTCGCGGCGTTCCTGTTCTCGCGCCAGCTGCTCTTGTTGTTCCTGCAGCTCCTGTTCCCGCTGCTGCTGTTCCTGCAGCTTCTTCTCGCGTTCCAGTCTCTCTCGCTGCAACTGCTCCTGTTGCTGCTGAAGGCGCAGCTGGTATTCTCGCCGGCGCTCCTCCGCTTCTCGCTGCTGATATTCGCGGAACTCCTGCTTCCTTCGGGCTTCTTCAGCTGAGTCCTTGGCGGGCCACGTTTGCTGGGGTTGCCTGTTCTGCCAGTTGCTATATGGATTGTGCACATACGGACGCCTGGTTGTCGTAGTTGTAGTGGTGGTAATGGTGCTAACAGGAATCACAACTGGAGTGCTCTTCGTGGTGGTATTGAAGTAATTGGCATATAGGTTGGGAACATAAATTCCCTCCCCGAAATGTGGGTCCAGCTCGAGCAAGTTTCCTCCGGAGTTGGAGATTCGCAAGACGGGTCCGTATTCGGAGGAGGCACGGGGCCAAACTCCAGAGTTCGAGTTGGGCACGCCTGTGGTGGCAAAGTTGACCCACATAGTCACCAAAGCGCGCGATAGAGATCTGTCCACGGCATTCAGCTGACTGGTCTCCACCGGGTATGGGAACACATAGACATTGTCGTCGCTGAGCGAGGCATCCACTGCAAAGGGTAGAGGACTCTCGACATGCTCGAATCTATGGTGCTCTCCACGGTAAGCAAAGTTGTAAAGGTAGACGGGAGATTTGCTGTACGAGTTCCGTATAGAGAAGATTACTGGTGCCCGGTACAGGATCATGTTGCTCAGCTCCAGCAGGCCTTGCGACACGCTGCTCGGGTCAACGCTCCGCACCTGGTCGGGGCTGAAGATCTCGCGCAGTGCCCACTGCTTCCAGATCTGGTGTTCGCTGGGAGGGGCCAAGTGGCGTAACACCACGTCGATATAATCGGATACATTGTACGATCGTACGTTTTCAATCTGCTTGTAGAAACCTGAAAAAAGACATTAATAGTATAAGTATAATGGTAGAGACATTTAAACTTTATTGATTACAAATATTTGCAATTCATTTTAAAATCTATAAAATAAATAAAGCACAAGCCACTTGACTTTTAACTCTGTGAATTTCCCAAAAGCACAATAATAAAGTTCAAAATGTTTCCTGTCTGTTTCTATAAATATAGAAAAGTGCCTTGACTCTAATTAGACAATACACTAAGTAGCTGTACTATATGAGGCTGTTTAATCGAACTTGTCCTTATCAAAAGCGACCCACAAGACCCCAACAGTTGCTTATCTCGTACAGCCACTAGAACTTTTGTTTCGAACCTGACCCAATTTTTCTAATTTTAATTTCCTTATATGTTTTTTTTTATTATTAATGCATTTAAAAATTAAGGAAGTGTAAGGATATTTTTCTTAATCATGTCTAAGGACATTAAGAAAATTTCTTTAAAGTGTACTTACGCGACAGGATGAAGGCGCTAGCGTCCTTGGTGGCGCCTATGATCGTGGGTACTGCGTTGCTGGCGTTGGCGGCCAAGGCGACGGGTGGCTTAGGCAGGTATCCTAGAGGGTCACCCACCACCAGCTTAAAGGCGCCAAGGGAGCTAAGACCAAGGGGCTCATTCCGGTTGAAGAGCTGCTCAAAAGCGTCAACCAGCTGCGAGGTGGGCAGACTGCCCAGGCAGTCGTATAGTGGTGCAAGGCTGCGGGTGTCGGCGACGGTCGGACAGCGGGCGAAGCTGGCAAAGGTGTCCAAAGTTTCCAGTGGGCGCTCGTCAATCAGGTAGGGATTTAAAGCCGTGCCCGATTGCAAAATCAGCTGCTGGAAGAGGCCACTGGCGCGGCCACTCAGACTGAGGGCGTGGATCAAGGTCGCTCCACCAGCCTGACCCAACAGGGTTACCTGACCAGGGTTGCCACCAAAGCTCTCCAGATTTTTTTGCAGCCACTCGAGAGCCAGGTGAATATCGGCGAGAGCTACGTTTCCGGGCAGCTCGTCGCTGAGGGCGCTCAGGAAACCGAAGGGTGCCAGTCGATAGTTGATGGAGACCAGCACCACATCCTTCTCCAGGACATAGTCCGGCTGGGCCTCCTCGGAACCGCCATCGAAGAGCATCTCGCCGTGCACGAATACCAGAACGGGCAGGTTGCTGGCGTGCTCGGGTGCATAAATGTCCAGGGTCAGACAGTCGTCAACGTTTTCGCCCCTGGCCTCTGACTCCCTCAGGCGTTGGAGCTCCGGGAACTGAGCGCAGTTGGGGCTCTTCACATTGGCATTAACTCTGCCCTGGTACCCAGTAGGCTGGGCAGCTTGGAAGCGCGCCAAACCACTGCCAACTTTGCCATAACGGATGCCAAGGAAAGCGTTAACCAGACCATTGGCATTGCTCTTGAAACCACGAACACCAACAACCTCTCCAACTTCTGGAGCTTGGACAACGACTTCCCGGGAATCCTGTGCGTACTGGGGTGCCTGCTGAGATGACAAATCCTGTGGGACATGCACTGGTGGTGAGTGGCGCACTTTCCAGGGCTCCGGCTTCAAATGCTCCTTCTTCCATTGACCTTCCTCCTCACTGTCATAGTCATCGTCGTAGTCATTGCTTCTCCTACCCCGATACAGGGCACAGGATTGGGCCACACAAAGGGCCAGAACGAAGTACAGCGGCTTCATGATGCTCGCTGCTCCGCGTTTGAATCAAAACTGATTTCTGGATCGGATTTTTCAGCCTGAATAGCTTCAAGCACTATCTGCAAGCTAACAGCCTTGGGGCGGCTGACCCAAGATTTTCAGCCTCTTCGAAATCGGAAGCTAAGAAAAAACAAGGGAATTGCGCAGAGATTATTACACAATACCACATGGAATTTGTAAAATAAATATTTTATTTTATTTCTTGTATTAAGAATTTATTTAATTTCATTTTGATTTGTGATTTAAAAAATAATTGGTATCTTAAGTTCAGCAAAATGGATCGCCTGGCTATAGGTCGATGTCATCAGAGTCTACATATAATCTTTGGTTCGTTGGTCGAACTGCTTTAGACGATCTGGTGGACCTTATCTCATCCGCTCACTGGTTCGACTGGGGCTCGGGTTATCTGCGTCGTTAAAACATACACAGTGTGTATGTCCCAATAAGGCTTTATGTTCAACATTTAAAAACACTTACCAGGAAGGTTTATATTTTTTACGTTTCAGAACATAGAACCGATTGTGTTTAAGCAATATCATACTTACTCAAAAATTGCTTAATTGCTTAAATTTTGTTTTTAAGAATATAATCTTTTGGAAAACGGGTGTTTAGTTCAAGGATATTGAGGTCTTTTCTAAAAAAAACACATAGTTTATGTTCATAATATAATATTCTCTATATTTTCATTTTTATTAATCATTTTCGATTCCTTTCCCACCGTTCCTTTTTCTGTTAAATTTTTTTTTCATTTTGAATTTCATTTTTTTTGTGGTTTTTTCATTTTGTTTGTATCGGCTTGTTCTGTATGTATCTATAATGTGTTATAATTAAGAATCGTCATTTCATCTAAATATTTCAGTTATAATAATACAATATAATAATCATTAATAATATGTGATTTTCATTTTATTCATTTGTTTCATTCGCCTCGTATGTTAAACTTGTGTGGCTTGCGTATGAATGTGTACCGATCCGTTCGCTTGAATGGGTTCTGAGTGTGTTCATGGACCGAATGGGATCATCGGGCTTGTGGCTTTTCTATCAGCTTGAGTTTGATTATTTCGCGGCTGAAACTGACGTGCAGCTTACAGTTCGTTCAAGTATGAAAATCAGAGATCTAGGAAAGCTAAAAGCAAGTGTATGCATATATACTCGTGTCTATATTCGTATATATGGTATATATATATTCCTTCTAGGTATTTCATTCGCGATTATTCTGTGGCGCTGTGGCAGTGGCCCAAAACCAAAAAAATATAAGCCTCTTAATTCAAATCCAAATTGAAGCGAAACTAAAATGTGTCGAATTACGTATTTTGTTTAGCAGCTTCACTATCTTCATAATAAACCATTATAGATTGAGAAAGAAATGCAGAAGTTCCCGGTTCTACTGATTGATTGATTGACAAGGAGAGGCCTGCGATTCGAGCTTAGGAACTTCTCAACAAATTTACAAGTGAATTTATTGAACTTCTAGTTTTCTTTTGTGAAGCGACTAGTCAATAATCGTTTAATTAAAAATGCACATTAATTAAGTTTTCACTGGAATCAAAGGTAATCAGTGATTAGTTTTTAGTTTTGTTTGCCTTTGTTTCATTTTGGTTTTTTTTTTTATTTTCATTTTTGTTTTTTTTTGTTTGTTTTTATGTATATTTTGTAGCTCAGTCTTTTACTAACAATTTTTGTTGTTCATGTTTTAGCTTCATCATGCTTTGGATCTGATTCTGATTTCTTCTGGCGCACAAATGCCGCGTGAATAATTAAGAGTGTTTCTATACTAATTTCTGAAGCGTTTGGTTCGAACTAAATCTAAAAAATGGCGAATTCTGACTTGAAGTAGTTTTTTTAGGTGTATTTTGTTTTTTTTTTTGTCTTTTTTGAGAGGTCAAGGAAGAAGATGTAGCCGTTCGACTTGAATTTGATTTAGATGTGTTCTCGTGTGTAGATTTGGTTTGGGATCGGGAATTCAATTCATACCGTTTAGTTCGCGTTTTAATTCGTTTTCATTTAAATGTCTTGCTGTTAGCTCTATAGTTGCTTGGAAGTACCGTTTTGTGTCTAACTTTCGTAACTTATTTGAGTAAATATTTGTTATTAGCTTTGGGTTTAGGGTTTTCATTTCGTTACTCATTACTCATTATGTTCTTGCGCTACATAGTCAACAATTTAAATTTATCCTTACGTATTTGTAACCGCTAAAGAATGGATAACATACTCATGGCTCGTATGCTTCGAGATTACCTAATCGAAGAGCACATACATACATATCTTGACTGTCGATTCTGTGACTGTGTGTATTGATGATGGTGTGCCGGGTGTGTGATTGGTGTCTGATTAGTGTCCAATTGGTGTATGATGTGCGTGAAGCTTGAAACCAAGCGCAGGATATCGATTGCCTTGGGTTCATGTAGTCTGAGTTATGAAGCGTGCTTTTGTATTGTTTAAATGAAGGAATATTTATTTGGTTGGTGAAGTATTTACAAAGTTTCGCAGTATTCATATAGGTAATGGTTAGGTTAGGCTCTTCCGTTATAAAATCTTAACATAATTATATAAATTGAATTCATGAACTCGCTTAACTTTGTTTCATTTATGGCTTTCAAGTAAGTAAAATGCATCGATTACGTGTCAGTGTGTTTTTTTTTTTTTTTTATTATGTTTCTTTTTTATTTTCTAGAAGCATAGAGAGCTGTCTACTTAGAAATTATAAAACCAAACAGATCGGACATCGCACATATTTAGGCAACATGCTCACCCCAAATCCATTCAGAAGTCTGAACGGGTTTATCTGTAATAGTTTGCTCCTTTTCTCAAAAACATAATAGTACAGTCAATAATAATCCAGTTACGGTTAATGCCTTAAACTAGTTAGTAGGTATTTATGTATAATGCAATGCCTGCTCGTAATAATATCTATCAAGTAATCATTTATATATTTTTCATATATATATATTTATTTATTTTATGTAAGAAGCACTTGAATATATATCGTTTTGTTTTTAATGAAAAATGAAAACTTGAGTGTGTCATGTTTCGAGTTCTTTTATTTCATTTTTTTCTGGGTTCCAGGTTTCTACTCTCTAGGGCTTGCTTGTCAATAATTTATTAAATGTTGCTTGTTCATTATAGTTTAATTTCTGGCTAAATGCACCCGCTACAATCAGTAGTTAATAATTGTTTTCATCTTATTCGGAGAAAGTTAAAAATCGTTTTCACTTGCCTTATAATTATTTTTTTAAAGTATGTTCTTCGACATTGTCGCGGTCTTCATTGTCAACTCAGAGGTTGCTCTTTAAAAATGTTCTTCTGAGTTGCGTTTCCTCACAAATTTTGTTTTCTGCATAATATTTTAGTAAATGTGAAGTTTTTTTTTCATCTAACTCTGCCTTTTAATGAGTGTTTTTAATAAAATACTTTGCTTAAATCATTTTTTTTGGTTTGTTTATTATTTATATTTTCTTGTTTTTTTTTGGGTTTTTCAAATTTAAAAGCATTTCTAGAGAATCACTCTTCTAATGTATCTAATAAGTTTATGTATACGGGTCATCTATATTTATGTAATGGGTAATATTAATCATTTTGCTTTTGTTACTGTTGTTGCGGATTTTGTCTGTAGGCATGATTCACTGTAAAACCTTTCAATTGCAGCCTGGCCTTAAATTACAATTACGTGATCGATTCCCCTCTTTGTATACTGAATAATCGGCGATCAGATTCAATTTGCTTGTATATGTACGTGTAAATGGTAAAGTGTATAAAAGTTAATGATCTGATTCAGTTAATACTTGTATGCAATTGTATAATAAGTTGATGTAGATCTAGAATTAGGTCAAACTTCTAGGGCTTTGCTATGTAATGTATATCCATCTGCTGCTACTCTATGTGTCTGATTCGTTTTTGCTTACGACTTACATGCTTACGGATTTGTATTGCTTTCGAATGACTCGACATTTTATTGTTAAAAACTAAACACCAAACAATGCAATTAAAAACTAAATAAACCAAACGATAATGATCTAGATACGTATATCAAATGAGCTTAAACCTTACTCAAGTATTTACAAATAAAACTAATTTAAATAAATATGTATAGCACTTAATTACTTGTGTCTTTGGCTGTCTAAATGTAGTCGCTTTTGTCACTTGTTGTTGCGGTTCATTTTTCGGTTTGTATACATTTTGTCAAAAAGTAAAATTGCATATAAAAGCATTAGATCGCTGCTGCATAAAGTATATTGTATATCTCAGTGTATATATGCCTACGCAAGTGTTTCAAGGATTTGATTTTTTAAAGGTTTTTTTTTAACTCTACTATCTGTACGGTTTGGTTTTCTTTTATACAATTTGCTGTGATTTAGATATTTCTACGCTTTCTTAACTCGTCGTTCAACGCAATTTTCATGTTTGATCTGATGAGCTTTTGTTTAAGATTTCATACAAAATATCGAATATGGGTTAGCTTAGCCTAGCTCTAAATATACTCTATTACAAGAACAACATTAGCAATGCCCCTAGAGAAAATATTTTCAAAAGTTCCGTTCTGCCCTCTAGCCAAATCTATAATACAAACCCTAAGTGGCTAGGCTAAAGTTTATAATATAATGCTTTCACTAAATTTTGATCGATCACTTCACATGAAATTTGTGTGTTCCTCCTCCACCTCCTCCTCCATCATCTCCATAATTATTCCCATATACGTATGTACACAGATGGCGAAATATCTGTCGCGGCATTGGATACATTCTGAACCTATGCAAACTATAACAACTGAACTGAAAGTGAGGGGATTTATGACCCTCTTGGGCCAGGCTCTATCCCCTCCCTATTATGGCACATATCGCACATACACGTGTTATCTGTACAGATAGGTTGAATAATGCGTTTAGTCCTGTACATATTTTACACTTTCCTACAGAGTAGTCCTACTTGGCGAATCGGAAATGGAAAAGTGGCTTAAGGCTCGGCAAATAAAATTGACAAACGGACAACGGGTGAGGAGATCTGAGTTGCGATTGGCAGTTTCAGTTCCAGGTCGGAGTGAATCTCGAGTGCAGAAACCTCTCTCTGGTTCCTCAATTTCGGATGGCTTAACACTAATTTGTATGCCCTACTATTTTGGTAAATCAGTAATAAGCGTTTCATTTTGTTTTTTTTTTTTTGTTTTGTCCATTTCTGTTCTCGTGTACATTTCCTCTACAAGTATCTCCAATATCTCCCGGTTAAATGCAAAAAATCGTGTATATCGTGTATATTCATTTGAATAAGGTTTGCTTAATTTACGTTAATATTTACATCTCCTGGCTCGTGTGTTCTTGAATTTTAATTAACAATATGGTTTGCAGCTCTAAGTTAGCGACTATATCTGAAGTTGGTATATATAGAGTCATATATATATCCTATATACGTATTCTTGTTAGCAGATTTGGTTATACTATCTGTGTAAAGGCTGTATAACTATAAATTTCGTGTATAATCTCTGTGGCTTTTTTGTGTGTAAGTAAATCCATCCCGTCCAGTTCCTATCGCATACTTGGAAAGGTTCTTCACCAACTAGGGTGCATTACATATCTGATGTGATCTTGATCTGTAACCCCCCCTTGGCTGGTAAAAAGTATCGCCTATCTTACATTTTTCATAATTTTTTGTTTTTTGAAAACCAATCCGTTTCTGATTACGCAACTACAAATCCCTAGCTTAGTGGAGTCCTTAAAACTAGTACATCTCGTTCTCATCCCAATCGACCGACTGCAACACCAGTTTGTCCAGCTCCTTGGAGTCCCCGGAGCTGCTGTTCCGCCTGCGCCGCCGCCTCTGGAGGTGTGCCCACTTCCGGTTCAGCTGCGTGGCCACCTGAGGAGCTGCAAACATGGCCGCTGCTGCGGCGCTCAACTTTGTGGGCGTAATAGCGCTGCTGGCCGTAGGCGTGGTCCCGCCTCCAGCGGGACTCATGCTGAACAGCTCCCGGTTGCCGAAGCGAAATCTACGGGGCGGTGGCAACGGAGGCGTGGCAGCAACGGCTCCACTTCTCGGAGTGTCGTAAGGGGGTGGCGGGGTGATCATGGCTAGCGAAGAGGTATCCTCCTCGTCATCGTCGTCCTCCTCCTCATTGTTGTCATGATTGGCAAAGTGGAACCTTGCATCGGAGCAGGCGTGGTCGTGGGCGTGGACATGGCGTTCGTAGAGCTCGTAGGAGGGTGTCTCCTCCAGCGGCGACTGCGGTTGGATCGGTGTTACCGGCATGGACTTGGCGTACGTTCTGCCAATGGGACTCCTTTGGGGCGGCTGAGCTGGGGGCGTTGTCGGGTGCGGGGGCTGCGACTGCGACTGGGACTGGGCTGTGGACTGGGCCTGGATGAGTGGCATCGATTTGGTGTTGCATATCAATCAATCACGGTAGATGTAGCTGCAGTTCTTGGGGCTCTCCTGCGGACTGGGGCTGCTGGATGGAGGGGCCGGACTGCTGCTGCTGTTGGACATTACGGGCGAGGACCCGGAACTGGAGTGCGGCTGTTGTTGCTGCTGCTGCTGTTGTTGGGGGCTATTCGAGCGGTGTTGAGTTACTGCAAAGGTCAAAGGCACTGGATTAAGTTGGGGCGAATGGACGGAGCATATGCTGGGTGCATGTTGCATCGATGCTAGGGATAACACACATATGAGGGCTATTTGGAATGCATAGTTTTTGAGACAACATTGAATCTGCTGCAACATGCACACACACAAAACTACTTAAAATTTAGAAATGATATTTTAAATGGGAAAAAACAAATATTTATAAACACTCAAAAAATTGAACATGTAGTTTCTTGACTTGAGAAACAGGAACAGATAGGAAAAAGAGTTTTTTCTTTAATTTTTAAAAATAGCACAGATATTTCCCCAATGGGGGGTCCAACCCTGCACCACAGAGCACGAGATCAGAGAAGGAAAAACCGGAAGGGACGACAGATACAGTTTTGTGGAAGAGGTGTCTGAGCCGTGTTCGGTGTTCTGTGAGCCCCAGTGGGCCGGGTTAATAAATAAGGCTAACTTAATGCAACTTAGGGTAACGGAACGCAACGTAAACTTACCAATACCATGACGGGGCGGCTGTCTTCTTGCGCGACCAAGACTTCTATTACGTGTGTTTGTGTTGTTTACAGCCTATGGGGTGGAGTGTTTATCAATTTCTCATCTTTAACATTCAAGTTTAAGTTTTGGAAAAATTATGTAAATGTTGAGGAAAAATCAAAGTTCAAAAAAACCAACAAAGTATAACTCTAATTTGCTTTAATCTAGGAAAAAAAACGTTTGCAGTCAAAGTTTGCTCCCAAATGTTCTTGCAAGGCAGATCGAATTTTCGAGTGTGTTTCTAGTTTTTCAATTTTAATATTTTTATATTTTTTTAATCAAATCTCTTCCAATGGTATTTGTGGCAAGCAATAAAACATAAAAAATTAGCTTATTAGCTATATACTATATAGAAATTAGGAGTCAAGTGGGAAGTACATGTATCATGGTGGGCGGAGTAGTTAGATTATTGCATTTTAATGTGTCCAAGATATTAATTATTTGTTTTTAATATTACGCACACACACACTCTTTTTTCTGTTCATCTCAGTGGGGGATTAATGGCGAATGCTAATTAATTTTGGTTTTTGGTGCCCATGCAGTGGGATTCAAGCGGTTCGATGGGGTTCAGGCTAGAGGAGGGTGTATGCGATATATCGAATAATGCCAAATCCAACCCCAAACACACACACACACACACACACTCCCAATTAGACAGAGGTCAGGCAAAAGGTCAAAGGAAGCGCTGGCAGCGATTGGCATGTCGACCGCGAAGCGAGTTGGGCGCGGGATGGCTGACTGGGCTGGACTGGCCTGATTGATTGATTGTTTGATTGACCGATTGGTGGTTCAAAACCTTTTTCGCATTTTCAAAATCGTGTGGTGTTCAAAAAAAAAATCAAAAGGAAACTGTGAGTGAAGAGACAGACAGAGAAAGATATAACAAACAACAAAGCTGCAACAAACAGTGCCTAAGTATTTGAATAGTTTTGAAAAATTTTTAAAACATAATATTCTGCTAAAATGTGCTCCAAATTCAAAATATATACTACAGAGAGAGAGAGCAAGAATCGGGGAGATTTTGAAAATTACTTTTTGCCTATCGAATTTCGGTTGAGCTCGTGGCGAAGGGAGCTCGTTCCATATTGCAGCTTTTGAGCAAAACATTTTCCAGATTAATAGTACTATAGTAGGTAGCAAACCAAAACCAAAAAACCCCAAAAAAATCAATCTAAAAACCAAAAAGTCGAGAGGTAACCAAGCGCAAACAAAATTAAAATAATTTAAAACAAAATCAAATAAAATAATAGAGCTTTAGCTATAAACAAGTATTTACCATATTTTGGGTAATTAGTCCCTGACTGGTTTCAGCCGCCCCACTCCCGTCTCAAAGGTAAACCTAATAAAAAAATGGGAAGAAGAAGAGAGAGATAAGATAGAGATAGATTTTTGTTTTTTTTTCCGGTAATTTTTTGTCGGGTTTTTTATAGGATGGAGTTAGTATCGATAGAGATAGAGCTCGATAAAGAAAGTAACTATAATGCATAGGTATAGTTTTGAGACAAAAGGATTCGCCGGCAGAGCGATTTCGAGCGATTGGTGTATTTCCAAAAGAACCAAAAGATCTTAAAAAAAACTAGCGAGATGGGATGTAAATGGATTTTAGACATGCGCTTCAAAATGATTAATGAGATGTGGAGGAGTGATGATGGATAGCAGCGCATACTTAATAGACACCCATTGAAACCCAATTAAATTAAAGGGACAAATTAAATTTATTTTCACGATGATTTTTTATAATTAAAAGAAAAGCATGCAAATGGCACAGTAACTACACACAACATTTATGATTAAAAGGTATGAATTGTAATGATTGAATGACTTGTGCTTTTTATCCTAATTTATATATTATTTCTATGTAATGGATGTGGCAGGACATACACACACTCACACACCAAAACACACCCACATACAACACGGATAGCAAGTGAAACTATGAAATACACCAATCGACGATTGTGCGAGGAGGTTTCAAATAAAAGCGCAGCACAGGGACTCTCGACGGGCGAGCAAGTTAGTTAACTAATGTCGAACAACATCGAAAAGATCGCAATAGTAACGATTAGAGATTATTATTAGTAATAGTAGTAGTAGTAGCAGTAGTACAATACGATAGATGGAAATAAAAAAAATTAATCGTATTCTTCTAGTTGGATTAATATTTGAGATGTCTTACCTTCTTAACGCTGCGGGTGGTGGAAAAGCCATCACCGCGTCTGTAGTTATCGCCCTGAAAGTAGGTTTAAATAATATTTAGAATTATATTTCATTGTATCTTAAACTGAACCACTCACCATCACTTGGTGAGAGCGCAGCGTGCCAAAGTTGTCGCGGCCGCGGTAGGATTGTTGGGTGTTGTAGCCATCCGGCTGGAACTGGAAAAGTGTCTCCGAGTTGGGGCCCTGGTGCATCTGGTGCATGGGAGGCTTTCGGAGTGTGTTCTTTGGCGAGTGCATCTTGTTTTGCGGTGGAGGTTGTGGCAACAAAACAGGCTCCGCATACGTCACCTCTTCCACTTGTGGCAGCAGCTTGGGCTCCTGCTGGATGCGGCACGATGACGGGAAACTAAAGGGAATAAGATTCCATTAATATCAAATTTTTTAAATGATATATCTCTCTGAAAACATACCTATTAACATTTTGCCGCTGTTCAAAGTATTCATATTCCGTATCCGGATATGGCAGATTGTCGTCCTCGTCCTTGTGGCAGCGCCGACCACAGAAGTAGCCTGTAAAGAAGCCCACCAGCAGGGAGAAGATCGAGCCAGCCAGTACGGCCATTACCAGAGTTTCCACCGTGTACTGGGCGTTGATTATATCTGCGGATATTTGGGGACCTTCGGTTAGTATATAATTTCGCAATAGATTGTTCGTTTTGGCATCGATACAGTGTGCATTAGACAAAACATTCAATAAACATTTGAATACACAACAGATATTTGGTTTCAAGTTTGTTGAATTGGTGGGTTTTCAGAGGTGGGTCAGTTTCGGTTTCAGTGTGGGTGGTATATTTTATGGAGGTTGGTCCATTATTTCAACGACATCAATTAACATCCAAACATCGAATTTAGAACGCATGGTATAAGGTAATTGCACGACAAAAGTTCATCATAAAATCATAAAAAAGAAACAAGAAAATTGTGAATAAAAAACGGTTAGTAAAATTGTACAACAACAAGTAAACTGTTTCAGAACTTTCTCCTCATTATACTGGCCATTAGTTAGTGTTTGAATATTTGACACAAAAAAAGAGCTTCTTGAAAGCGATTAAATGCATGCAGTATATTTACATAAAAGTATCAGAATTTAAGAATCAAGATATTTAATAATTTATATTTCCTCTCTTGTTTTAAAGTATTTTCTTGTTTAATAAAATAGTTTTTTTTCTAAGATTTTTTCAAGAAAGATTACACAAAATAGAAATAAGTAGTTTCCTGAAGGAACAAGTGCAAGGCAACAGATATTATGGGCGTTGAATGGCATAAAGTGGCAATAAGACAGCACTGTGAGCCAGGGGACAAGGGGAAAATGAAAATGTGATTTGCATCGCAAGACAACAGGTAACAGGTAACAGGTTATGCGGAGCAAGTAAGGTGGCAGGTCGGGAGGAGGAGATGGAAATGGCTTCTGGGAAACTGACAAGCAAAGTACGTGCAAAAAGCAAAACGAACAAATCCAAAATATATATAGGTATATGCATAAATTGATGCAGTGGGGAAACCGTTTAGATAAATCACCTTCAAAGTTCTTATCAATATTGTCGATGATCTCCTGATCCTTGCTCTGGCGTCGCGAATCCAATAAGTCCATTTCATTGCGGTATCCCTTCTGTTCCCCCGCATTGGCATCCTTTGAGTTTATTTTGCCTGGTTGGATAGAGAGAGGGCGTTAATCTCGAGGTCCTCGTTGTCGAGCCAAGTTCTTACTCACCTGAGGGGCAGGCCGCATGCTGGCCAGTGGCCACATTCTGGTAGAAATAGTTCTCCTCCAGCCATCTGGGTGCGCCGTGGGAGCGACACTTTCCAGCAATTTTGTCCCAGGCGCAGTAAGGATCCTGCAATGCAACGCACTCGCTGTGGAGATGCAGAGAATGTTGGATAAATATCTGTACAATGCACAGTGAAAAGAAAGTCAAGCCTTTCTTAAGCATTTATCTTAAACATAGGGCTTTATATCGATTATTTTTTTCAGTGCTTTAATGGGCTGATGAAACTCGAAAATGTGTAAAGTGTAGAGCTCGACGATTGCGTCGCATATTGAGGCAGTCAAGTGTCAGACAGGCGACACGAGTGTCGCGCAAATTGTTACATGATAATAAAAATGCCATTGTCTGGGGCACTGGAGTGGGAGGTAAACCTGAAAGCGGGTAGTTGTCTGGCACCCACCTGCAGCTGGTGATTTTGTCATTATGACAACGATGCAATTGTATGGCCACCACCTGGCTGTCAGTCACAATGATTAATTTGCCATCATCATAGCTGCCATCTTTGGGTTGATCTGCGAAATCAATACAGGTTATTTGCATCATTGTACATGCATATTTTCCTGTGTATACTCACCGTACTGCATGGTTCGAACTATTTCCAGGTTGCGAATGGGCTCGCTTTTGGTCAGGACATCGATCTCCTCAATGACCACCGATGTGACTTTGTCGGCGGCATCGGCGGATTCGGCATTGACCGACTTAATGATCTTGCCATGGTCTAATGGGGTTGGATTAAAAATTATTCGATATTCTCTAAATGGATCTTAGAGTCTTTTTTAACTCACCTGTGCCCACAAAAATAACATCATAGGTCTTGCCACCCGGAGTCTTTATTTGCGCATCGACAGCGATTTGTGTGAAGCGATATCTATGGAAATGGAGAATGGGAATTTCATTAAAAAGTTTTTTTTTTGATAAGTTTTCTACTGTGATGATTCGATATCCCTGGCATCTAATTTTTCTTCATCCATCCGTGGCATGAGAAACCTCTGTCAGTCTCCTAAATGAACAACCGAACATTGTTGCATGTTTTCTTTATTTTGCAACATTGTTGTCGCTCGTTTCCCTGACAATGGACGAACGTCTGTCATTTCGGTTAGACGTCCATTAATAATGGACAGACGCCAAAATGGTCGCCGCTGTCAGGACGAGAAGGACAAGCACACTGAAGTGTTCTGGTTAGAACAACTACAGTCTGTTTTTGTTTCTCGTTTTTTAAATATATTCCGAACAATAACTACAATAAAAGCAACACAAGTAGATGAAATAAAAATGAAAATTTCTCTCTGATTTCACCGCAAAAGCTGGGCCCGCCGCTGCAGCCTCTTGTTGCAACATTTGTGGCCTGGTCCATCGTCCATGGTCCCTGTCCATTGTTGGCTGTCATGCCTTCTGGCTCGATTTAAATGCAAATGTCTGGCAGCAGAAATGGAAGCCACAGTGCTGCAGAGCGGCCCAGGAGCAGCCACTCCATGTCCCACTGCTCTGCTTTTTTTTTATTGTTAATTAACTAATCTTGTTTGCGGAGCATCGGAGCTTGTGTGGAGCAACAATTTCCAAATTGCCCAACGTTTCTGCGAATAATTCATTAAACAAAGTTTTAATTTAGTTCTAGTTTGGGTTGGAATTCGAGGACTCCAGCACGAGAATTGTGTTTAGTGGAAAGATTGGGCATACAATGTCGACTAAAGTTTAATGTAATGCTGGCAGGGGTTGAGCAAAAGTGGATTCAATAAATGTTTATTATTTTAAGAAAGCTAGCCCCGAATCGAAAAAGTTTAATTTAAACTCAAACTAGACAAAGAAAGCCCACGGGAGGGATGAGAACAAATATAGCTTAAGCTTAAATTCGACAAAAAGAAACCTCCGAAGGCCAACATGAAAGTCAGGGATATGCAAAATAAATATGTAAACAAAGTAGGGGAAAAAAAATGTTTACGGAGGACCCAGGGCCACGTCCTGGGCCGGGTCAAAGTCCAAAGTCCTGGCAATTGAAACTTGCAAAAATGTTGCCAACTTTTGTATCGCTCCGATGAGTTCAGAGGGCGACGATGACAGCAACAACATCGCCAGACAAATGGCCAGAATGGGGGGATGGGCCAGTTAGCCGGCTTTGTCCACCTCATGCCGAGTCAACTTCCCGGCCGATAAGAACACGTTAAGGACAATGCGATACCTTGGAACAGGAACAGGAAGATGCAGACTGGGATACGGTCAGCCAGCCAGCTGCTGGTAGGAATCAGTTGAATATGGGATACTTCCGGTCTGCGCCAGGAAACAATTTGTAACGGAGAACCCGAGGAGCCCGGGTCTTGCTTGGACACTTTCCACTCAAGTCGAAGGAAGATGCTGCACACTATCCTGAGCTGAGTACATACAGTTTTCAACTTGCTGCAAACTTTTGCCACAACCAGCCCCAGACTGAAGACCCGCCTCAAGTCCAGACCAGGGCCCCTTCCAGTATGCAAATCATGGAAATCCCGGCAAAAAAGACGTCGCCTCCTTTCCGAGATTTATTTGAGCCACGCCCACGCCCACGCCGCACACAGGCAGCCGGCAGAAGCCGAGGAGCGGAAGTGGCCAAGCGATTTGGGACCCCAACGAAATTATAATAAATTTATGTTTCGGCCGAATGCCATAAATTCCACAGAATTTTTGATTTGATTTTGTCATTTGCGTTCAATAGCTCCCCGCTCCAACCAGCCCCTCGACCGGATTCACACCTTGAAGCCGTCGCTTTGCGGTATCTCGTTCTGGTTTCCAGTTGCCACAGAATATAATTTATGCGTATTGTTTGAGCCCGAATCGTTGAGATGATAAATGATTTCTTTTGGCCGAAAACGGTCTTGGCATTAAGAGCTTGACCCGATTCTAATACGCTTGAGCTCTCAAGATGGGACCAACAATTCCATAAAAGAATTTAAATTTAAGTCTGAAAATATTTCTTAATATTCCAAGAAAATAGTTGCTCCTTAAGTCAGTAGGTAACTAATTACTAACTATCGCTCAGTAAGGATTCTGCGCTGATGACCCAGTTTATATTTTGATTTATGGAATGGCAATGACGCATAATCCTGCAAACTTTTGGCCCAGAAGGAAGCCCGAAGGCCGCTGACGTGCTGACATATGAGAATAGTTGGGCTAAAAAAATGTGGGGAGTAACTTTTGCGCATTTTTATGGCTTTCAATTGAGTGTCCTGGGCTCTTGATTAAATTCTGATGCACGCCCTCGTCCTGGATGCGTCCCCAGCCGAGCATCCGTCGTCGAAGTTGCACCAGTTGGCCCCCAAAATGCAATGAGTCAGTTGCAGAAAGCGGTCTGCCCCACTTCATTTTTTTTAACAACCAACACCCACCCGCCCACACACAGTCACTGCACCGTACTGCACCACTCGCTTTTGCATTTGTTGTGGTGTGCTCATGTGGATAGGGATGCGGATGCGGATGCGGATATGGAGGAAAGTATGGAGCAGGTCTACGGTCTGCGTTGTTGCTACGTGTTCCATATTTCATTCTAATTTATTCAGTTGTGCATACATATTTTCGTTACGGGTTGCCTCCTCGGCGCATCCATGCATTTCCTTCTGGCTGGCTCGGTTCGTTTGCTTCAAACTATCGCTCCACTGCCAGTCCCACCTGCACCACTGCTCGCCCCAAAACCAAAGCCAGTGTCTAGAGTGGTGCTCAGTGGCTCGCTTATGATTTAGACCCTTTAAAGTTTCTTCCGCACCGCCCCCAACTCTGGAACACATCTCGGCGTTGTTCGCCGTAATTGTGGCTCAATTACATGGAAAAGTTACCAAATTGAATTTTTAAATTCTCCCCCCGGCCAGAAGCCAGAACGAGCGAAATCGTTGGCCATAATTTATGGAAACGCTCCCCCCGTGGCTCCGTTCATGTTGCTTTGGTTTACGGTTATTTGCGCTGACTAACACCTTTAGCCAATTTCCATAAACTCGGGCTAGAACAGATGCTGCAACCTACTCTGTATGTGTGGGTCGGATATTGGCCAACAAAGATTCAGTCTATGGCTTAGAGACCTCTTCCAAACTATGTTAGATTCGAAATTCAATGTTAAATATAATATATTTTGAATATGTTTCTATTTCTTTTTTCTCAACGCTTATTGTATCCACATTATGGTTGTAAAGCCAACTACTACCAAGCCAAGCCCTTCAAAGCCCTCTTCCTTTATAGCCCACTGCAACCACTAAGCTGGCCAAAAGTCAACCAGCTGGCTGGCTGAAAATTTATGCTTCCCACTGGGGACGGATCTCGCTTTTTGGCCGGAAACCGGAAGTGACGAAGCAACGAAATAAAGGCGATGTGAATATGATGGCTCAAACTCGGGCTCGGGCGACGGCAGTTAGTTACTCACATTGTGCTCGTCCGGACCAAAATCGGTTGACCGAAAAATGCCGGCACATTCTCGTCCATTAACGAATGTGTTTTGATGAAATTCAATGTGGGGTCCGTGAGGCCTCTGGAGTCGTTGTGGCAGGCACCAGGGCGAGGATGAGGTACCTAAAAATAAACCGAATGGAAACCAAATGCAAATTTAATATGGCAATTTAAAGGATTTAATAAAATATACGGCTTAGTGCTGTCACATCATTGGAGAGTTTGTTGAATATCTTTAGCAAATTGTTACAGTGAGTCGTTGCAGCACGTCCTTTGGCAAGGACTCTCATTCAGTCAGTTACCAATATCAGAAAGCTGACAAAAGCAAGCTCTGCCAAGAACCCGAATCGATGCCGACATGTGCAGTCATCTGCTGGAAATTGGCAAAAGCATTCGGGATGCAAATGCAGATTTGGTGCCAAACGAGGAATACATTTTGCAGAAACATTTTTATGGCATGCCGGCCATAAGTCATAAATTTGTGCGGCACCATCTGTGCTCAAGTGCGGTCACAAGAACGTTAGGGTTGGGCTTAATGCTAATCCGAAGACATGAAGGACTCACCTTGGCGTTGTTCACTGGCAGCCAGTTGGAGTTGATGCCGCTCTGCTCCTTGAACTGTCCCTCGAACGTGTCGGCAATGTCCTGGCGCGAGGTAGGAGAGTCGCAAATTAAAATTTCCGTTTCGGGAAACAATTTCATGGCGGGTAACTCACCTGCAGGGCGAAGGCACAAACCGCAGAGCCCGGAATGGAGTTGGTCGGGGTATTGAAGACTCCGTAGATCAGCTTGGAGTTCATCGATCCGTACTGGCCATCCACCAAGTTGCTCGCCGATTCTTGAAGTAAAAATAGAAACAAGTTGAAGCTTTTAATCAGCTTATCAGGCAAGCTGGCGTATTGGTTTACGTTTCTCGGCGAACCAATTACAGCGCAGAATGCTGGCGTTTAAAGTTGGAAATTGAACTTACGGATTTCATTAAAGTAAAAGGGATAATCGCCCGGAATGGAGCAGTTGAGACGGGATTTCAGGAACGATGTCCAGCGATTGCGGAAACGATGCGGGCCACCCTTGTCCCACTTGCAGACGCGGGCAACGCGCGAATAAATCGCCTGAAAATCGCATGGAAGGATAAGATATTAATGCTGCTCAGCTTCCATCGTTAGAGGGCCAACAACTGCGACAATCTGCGGCAAATAAATAAGGAATTGCCCAACACGCAGCATCAGCAGACACTTTCGTGCCCCTGGCAGTTGTTGTTCCTCATCGAATTGATTGGAAAACACTCACCTTGCCACAGTTTATGAACTCCACTGCGGTTTCCCGAAAAAAGAAATAGACAAAGTCTCCCTGCGTGAACGAGCTGACAAAGTTGGGGGCTGGAAGACGGGGAGAAATTTAAACAAAGTTTAGCCATTAAGTTCAGTTTATAGGTTTCGTGATTGCAAACATTTTTATGGTGGATAGTTTTGGATTTTTGTCATTTTCATGATTTTATGACAGGTACGATGACATCAGCTGGAATAAATGGGTTTCAATGAGTTCATTGGCATGCATTAGATCCATGTGGATATGGCGTTGAGTAGTTCGTCGATGAGTTAATGCCACATATAGTGGCTCAGTGAAACATTAAAGATTTCACAGTTCACAGCTCTCGACGCATTCCTCCATTGGCCATACAATATGAATTATGAACTCTGGCGGAAGGACGTCGATTGGAATGGGGGACGATTGACGCCCATCTCCTACGGTGGTAAATGACAGTCGGACGTGCCACGTCTATTCGGACTCAGATTCAGTTAATGGAAGCTTTTACATGGCAGCAGGAGCTGGCGGGACCCTTGAAATATGCAAAAGGCAATCGCACGCAATCGCATCGCCAACTGACATTCGACAGGAAGGACACCGACACATCGACACACCGACAATAAGTGCACACAGCGTCCAGCTGGCGACCTCAGATGCATACTGGAATGGGGTGAGGAGGCACACTGCGCTAATAAAGCAGAAGCGCCATCCTGACAGGGTCCTTGACGTTTTCAATTACCACAAGTGGCTACAAACGCACTATCTGGCTACCTACCGTTGAGACTCAGGCTATCGTACTGCTCCGTCTGGAGGGGCTCCCTGTAGATAATCGGATCGCTGCCGCTGAAATCCGCCACAGTACCAGAATACAATTCATTGTCTGCGAAGAAAGAGAAAAAAATTCCATGGATTAGAAAATGAATTAAAAACTTTACAAACTTTAATTTGTATACCCTTGCAGAGGATATTATAATTTTAATACGCAGTCGGAACGGCCGACTATATTCTATAGCTTCCACATAACTGATGGATCGGAAATGCCATACTTTGCCTATCATGAAAAATGGATTTTTATGCAGAATTGTAGCAAATCGATTCAGAAATCGTTTAAAGTATTCCGCTTGAGAATCGGATGAGAATTGGGAAAGATATGGTCGTCACTGTGGGCCATAAAGGGAAAAACCCCAATTTCGAGGGATCCCATCATGAAAAATGGACAAAAAATCTAAAAAATATTTTGTCTCAGGATTTTTATGCAGAATTGTGGGAAATCGATCCAGAAATCGTTTAAGGTATTCCGCTTGAGAATCGGATGAGAATTGGGGAAGTTATGGTGGTCACTGTGGGCCATATAAGGGAAAACCCCATTTTCGAGGGATCCCATCATGAAAAATGGACAAAAAATCTAAAAAATATTTTGTCTCAGGATTTTTATGCAGCATTGTGGGAAATCGATCCAGAAATCGTTTAAGGTACTCCGCTGGCGAATCGGATGAGAATTGGGGAAGATATGGTCGTGATATGGTGTTTGCAAAAAATACCAACTTTAGTATTTTTGAAGATAGAAGCTTGGGTTTTTTTTTGTAATTTTTTTTTAAATAATTGGTTTTATTCGAATTTGAAACAATTCGAATAAGGATCGGGACCCTTCTATATCGGAACCCTCTCATAAGTAGCCTACTATATACGACATTTGCAATAAATATCCAATCCTTACCGCAAGGGTATATCAAATTCAGCTCCGCCCAAAGTTAGTTTTCCTTGTTATATTCTAATGCCTGACATCCAACCAGATCAATTATTTTCGACACAATACAAAGTAAGTGGATATATCCAACTAAAAAATGTCAAGAGTAAACGTCAATTAAGTGTCACTTTCTATTAGCTCCTGCAAACATACATACATTTTCGATCCAATTTTCTTCATAAAATTTCTTAACGACTATTTATTATGCATTAAAATGTCATGTAATTTGGAATTTCTCCATCAGGGCGAAAATAAATCGGGGAATATTATAAAGAATTCATCAAGTGCTCTGTGTCAGACAAGAGTCAGTGTGCCGACGCCCTGCTGGCTGGCTAAATGTGCGCGCCAAATTCCATTAAGCTAAACGACAACAAGCAGTGGGTCCTGGCGAGAGTACTGGAACTGGTTCTGGTACTCCTGACATGGCTTTTCAGATGGTATTGGATGCGCCTGCGGCCACATACTCGTACTCGTGCAGAAGATAAATGAAATTTTCTTGTTTTTATATATATGTACATACATATATATTATTTTTTGTCGTTTTGGTTTTTGTTTGTGCAGCGAATTGGCTCGGGCTTGTCACAGGCTTCGGCTTTGTCCTTGTCAAGCTCCAGCAACAATAAAAGAAAAGCCAAAAAAATATGTGTATATTGAAAACTGAAAGACGGAAGTGCCGAGCGCCCGTTTATTGTCTGGCCGGAAATGGCTTGGCTGTCGGCAGCGAAATCTCAGCAGATGCCATTCCAAAGGCAGCTGAACACAATTCGACTCAATGCGATCATCAATCGCTCTCCAGGAAAGCCAAAGGTCTCTAGGCACTCTTAAAGTTTTTGTTTTTGCATTATAATATTAATTCTGAATAGACTTCAGAAGCTGATTTGAGAAGCATCGAAACATAAGCTCAGTACGAATTATCAGTTTGATGACTGAGGGTGTTTTACTTATTTTTTGAAAGCAAAAATGAAACTAATTCCTTTAATATTTGTATTCATTCTGGGGCTGCAAAGTTCCATGGAAGATTGTATGGTAAGAATATTTATTCATATTAGAAAAAAAATTTAAGTATACAAGCATTTTATTATTTTAGCTTGAAGATGAGGAGAATGAATGCGGAGCGTATTGTTACAAAGTAGCAAGACCAATTTTAGGATATTTGACACAGTTACTGAAGGAGTTACATGAGTGCAAAAATCGAAATCGGGAAAACCTCATCCTAAAAGGAAAAGAATTCGTGAAACTACACTTAGAAGGGTTGAGACTGGAGAATCTACAGAACTTAATGGCAGAACAGGAATTCGTTAAATTGGATAAATGGATGACTGCATGCACAAGGCCACCTCGTACAACAAAATTTTGCAAAATTCTTAATGGAAAACACTATTTTGTAGACTATATTAAATCAGTTACATGGGAGAAAGCCTATAATATTTGCCGCCAAATGGATGGACACCTTGTTAGTTTAAAAAGTGAAGAAGAGTGGAATGCTCTTCGTGGCCATTTAGACCGTACGCGCAGATATTGGACAGATCTTATGATATCCAATAATGATCGTAATAATATAATCTCAAATACTACTGGAACGAAACCTGAATATACAAATTTTGCAAAGTTTGAGCCCAATAATTGGTATGGACATGAAAATTGTGTTGAATTGTGGAATAGGGCCCGCCCTACAACCTTTGAAATGAATGACGAGTCTTGTTCTACAGAAATTTTTTTTATTTGTGAACGTAATTAATAACCAATTAAAAAAATAAAAAAAAAATAAAAAAAAAAATTTTTAATGTTTTAACTAGTGAACACATTTGATCCGAATATCGAAATAAATAGAGAACGTTGATTTATGCAAAATTTCAGTCCGAAAATTGTGTGCTTATGAGTCTGGAGGGTCTAAAGCCGCCCACGTGCAGTGTGGCGCACATTTAATAGATTTTCGCGTTGATGGCCTGGCAAACTCTAGCGCATTTTGTGATTTTTGGGGTTTTGTGTTTGGGCGCTCGCCGCAATCGATCAAATTTAGGACAGGGGCAGGTGGGCATGGACGGAAAATGTGAATTACGTGACAGAGATGTTGGCAGGGAAATGAGGACTGTGTTGGAAGGAGGAGAAAGCCACATTAAAACCGTCTTCTGCAACAAATTAATTTCGCCCATCACGCTCCTCCACCCCCGGTGGGGTGCTTAAATTAAGAGGCTGTAAAAGTCACGCGGTGAGTGAAAAGCGAAAGTGACTCCCCTCTGGGAGGGATACTACCAAAAAATCCCGCATCCCCAGAAAATAGGAATATAAGGACAGGGGGCGGCTGGCAATAGACAGGAGGCAGGTGAGGCTAATGGCCAATAAAAACAATTTCACAAGTAGAGTTAATAGGTAGGAAGTTTTACATCAAAATCGTTAAGTCAACAGGAAAGACTTCTTTACCTTCAATCTAGAGTTACTTTAAAGATTTGACTTCTATTTAATGTTAAAATAATCTGTTTTTATTACAAAAAAAAACTCTTTGCCCTCCGTTTTTGGAATGAAGTTCTTGCCGAAATGCAAGTAATTAACAATGGGAATGCAATTAGCATGGCGGCCGAAAGTTGTGATTGTTGTAGTTTTATGCAGGAGAGCGTTTTTTATTTGGCTGGCGCTGCCTTCTTTGAATTTCGCTAACAAGGTGCACAAAAGGACCTGCCCCAGCTGTCGCACCGTGTCCTTGCCGTCACCCGGCGGGGCGCAACATCGACAGGACACGAAAAGTTGCAACTGCCACCTCTGGCCTTCGCTGCCTCGTTGTATCTAATTGGTTTTTGTTTGTGTGTATTTTCCACTGCCTCTATCCCTCTCTCTGCCTCTATCTCTTTCGGCCTTTGACTTTCTTTCTCTTTCTCCAGTCATTGTGTCGTGCAGGGACGTTTGCTTTTATTGTTTGCTCATTATAACGCCAGTTACCTGACGACCCACGTCCAACCCAACAGGACTCAAACAGGACTCAAGCTAGGGCGCTGGGCTCAAACTTTTCCGCATTGCAGCAATTGGCCTCAGCTTAACTCATTTTAAATGACAATCTAGCGTGCTGGAATTATGCACATCGGCTTGCCCTTTCCGTGCATTGCCACGGAGCTCCGAGACCGGGGAGTTCCTCCTAAAAATCTCAAACATTTTCACCGCCTGTGGCATAAAGTTCGATAAACTCTTTAAGTGATTTAATCGATTTTCAGGACCAAGTACAAAAGCCCACACCACCCACTCGGCCAGCGGGGGATAACGGAAAAGGCTCTTTAGAGTGACGAGAACAAGGCGTAATGAAAGTTCATCGCGTTGACTGCGGCAATTTGCATATTTTTGCATGTTTTATTATGCGGCTGGCAAACACTCGTATACAAGCGCACGCTAATACATAAATTACACTCATTTTCAATGACAGAACCGGCCGGCACAGAAGGTACAAATAACGAGGAGACCGGAGGGAGCTGGGGCGGCCGGCTGGGGCAAGTGCTCTGCTTTATTGTATCCGGGAACGTTGTGTTTTAAATATTTGATATCTAAAACATACCCATGCAGAAGTAGTACTGCGTGTGTGTGTATACCTATAATTTTTTCAGGGTCTAGGCATAAATAGGGAGGGGTTTGTGTCCCTTATTTAATGCCTTGAATTAGCCACTCTCGTGCCTGCGTGAGTCGAGTGTTAAGCCCTTATTTAGGTGGCCCGCTTAGGAGTAATTACATCTGAACATGTACACTTGCATCGCGCATTATGCATTTCTCTATGGCCATTTGGAGATCCATTATCAGCTCGGCTGCAAGCCTCTAAATTGCTTAATTTAATGGAAATGGTCAGGTAACTTTTAAGGAGGGAGATAGTGTTCATACAACATGTCAAATCAGAATTATATCATTAAAATTATTTCTTTACAAAAGGGATATAGGATATCTTGTATTTGAATTTAATTTCTGTACAAAAATTCTAATTCCCTCGAAATTGGCAATTTGAGAGGGAGTTCGTGGCCTGTCAATTGGGAGAATTACACCAGCAGGCTGACCCACTTTTGATGCCTGACATTCTTATAGCCCTGACAGTGGTTGAACCATTTTTGAGTCAAGGCTTTAATTATAATGGCACTGGCAGAGGTCCCAGTGAACACATTTTCTTTGCCAGTTTTGTGTTATCAATTTTTGGCTGTAATTACATTTCACTCTGATAGAATTTCCAAAGAAACGAGATAAGAGCATTGGGGAAAAGTTTTGGCAACATGTGCTCGGCTCCGCAGCAGATTTCGCATTCCGTTTGCTCCACTTTCATTATTCTTTTCGACTTACTGCTTCTCGCAAGCCATCTCGGCTCGGATTGTGTTTGCCTCTTAGTCCTGTGGCTTTTGCGGATTCAGAAAATTTGGCAATTAGCTTAATTCGATTTTTATTGGCACACCACAATTATCAGCTCTGTTCCCCCCGCTAGCTAGCCCTTCCCACAAACGGTTTCATTACAGTTTCAGTTTGCCTCCCAGCTCGATTTGCATTTCCAGATGCATCTGGAGCAGCGCTTAGAAACGATCGAATTAAAAGTTAATGCCTTTTCTGTCTATTCGCAAAAGCTTGTCTTGAAGTAATGGCCTGGAAAATAATATTTGGTAGCTTAGGTTTGGTAACCTTGTTGGTTCATTGTTTAAATTGGTGGGGAAATACCCGAAGCTGAGTTAATAGATTTCTGAAAATCTATTAGATTTAGATCTCTTAATCTATATAGAAAATCAGGAAACAGTAGGTTTCTGTGTTTTATTATTCCATTAGGCTAATCGTCCAAATTGCTCTGTCATAAAATTATTTCTAAGGTCGCAGATCTCAGATTAAAATAAATTAAAATATAAATAGATCCCTTGCTTTTTGTTGTGGCTTTTATTGATTTAATCTATTTTGTTAAATTTAATAGACTTTAGAAATCTTCAGAATTTGATAACAGCTTTGTGGAATGCTGATTTGGGAAGCGCCCAAAAATAGTCTCAGTTTTAGGTATCAGTTCGACGGCTTCGGTTATACTTTTTTCAGAGCTAAAATGCAACAAATCCTTTTAATATTATTAATACTTGTATTGGTCCTAACGCTGAAGAGTTCCAGTCAATACGATTTGGTAATAGTTTCATTGAAATAAGCTTATAAGGTTAATACAAAATTTAATTTTTTAGATTGAAGATCAGGGTGAGCTATGCGGAGGTACTTGCTATAAAGTGATAAAGCCCTTAATGGAAAGTTTGCCAGAACTGCAAAGGGAGTTGCAGGAATGCAAAAATCAAGACCAGGAAACAAGTAAATTCGTTCTCCAGAGTACGGAACTATTGCAGGTACAGTCTCGACTAGAGGCGCTGGAGAAATTATTGGCAAACATTGATCCATGGACGACTAAGTGCACTAAGCCCCTAAGTGAAAGCCAATTTTGCGAAATTATTAATGGGAAACACTATTTTGTTGACTATCTCGTAAAAGATACCTGGGAGGAAGCCTACAATTTTTGTCGCCAAATGGGTGGACATCTAGTTAGTTTAAAAACTGAAGAGGAGTTGGATTCCCTTTTTAAAAAATTAGACGTACATCGTATATTTTGGACAGACATTGCCATCCTTGCCAATAGACAAGCTTTTTCCGAGACTACTGGAACGAAAGCTAACTTTACAAAGTTTTCAAAATATGAGCCCCATTGTTATGAATATGTACATGAATTCTGTGTTATAATGGGGGGAGAATCAGCCTTTGAAATGAAAAACGTACCTTGTGCTGAAAAACACCATTTTATTTGTGAACGTTATTAATACAAATTTGTAAAAAAAACAAGGTTTTGTGTTAAAAAACTTGCGAACGAATATCAAAATAAATTGAAAGACAATTTATATAAAATGAAAGCTTTTTTGGACATTCAAACTAGAGGTCTGTCTGAATAGCAAAAAAACGAGATTAAAATGGACAACCTTGAAAATGAATTGACTGAGAATGCTGAGACGAAAATTAATGTTTAAGTGAGTGCGACTGTGTAGGTCTTACTCGCACAACATTCGGGGGATGAAAACCGGAATTGAATGAGATCGCAATTACAGATCGCATTCTAATTGTTTTGAATGCATTCTAGAATGCTCGATAAATTTTTTTCCATCACAATTTTGCCGATGCGTTCGTAAGCTCTCTTACTCTCTCACTCCCTATCGGATGTATTCTATGGCTTAGGCAATAAGAAGGTATTCCTGCAGACCTATGTATGTATAATTCAAACCTTAAGACACCTAGGACTGCCCCACTACCCTAATTTATAGACGCTAATTGTTTCTTGTTTTTTTTTTTTTTTTGGCTCAAGGAAAAGTATTATGAGAAAGCCAAGAACGGCCGTCCATTGTCCGCAAAAAGGGTCACAGGCTGTGCTCCTTCAGACTTTATATTTTTTCGCAACAGCTTTTTCTCTGTTTTTTGCGCCATTTGGTTTATTGTTTGGACTTTGTTTTCGAGTACATATTTTACTGCAGACGCTTTTGGTCGCAGCTTTTTTTCTCGTCCTTTCACGAGTGACCCTTTAAGTGCATGTATTGGTGTGGGTGTGTGCTGCTATCCTTTTATCCTTTTGCAGTTGTTAGGCGCTCATTTAAACTTTTGGCTCTTAGCAGATTTTATTGTTTTTAATGAAACTGACAGTTGTAGTTGCGCCGTCCTTGTTGTTTGTTTCGTGGATGCTGTTGCTCTCATTTTGCATTGCACCCGCACTGTGACCAGGGCCATCCTTTCAGCCGGCTTTGGTTTTCAGATAACGCGCCATTTGTTTTCTTCTGGTCATTCGCCTAAGCCAATTTAAGTTGGCTAAAATAAATTAGCTCTCCTTTACTTTTTAACGAGCTCTGGCGTGGACCAAACGACCCAAAAGCAAAAACAGTCACTATGTAGTATAAGATCCAAAAGCAAATGATCCGAAAAAGTGACCCTTAATTACTAAATAAATAAATAACAAGCTAAGGAGAATAAATGCGGGGCTATATGAGCAGTATCCTCGATAGTATAGTGGTTAGTATCCCCGCCTGTCACGCGGGAGACCGGGGTTCAATTCCCCGTCGGGGAGATACAATTTTTTGTATTTATTTATTTTAAAATAATATTTATTTTTGTTATCATGTTTTATTGTAAAACATAAATGAAACTAAAACAATCAATTTGCCATAGCAACTAAGGCTTTCAGGCGGTTTCCTACTAAGTTTATTCAACTATTATAATTAATATAATTTTAATAAACTAAATTATTCCAGTTACAGTTTTATTGGCTATTTATAAAATTTATTTAGTGGTATAGTTTCTAAAAGCAGATGGGTAGGGGTGGTTGTTTTGAGGAAGATACAGTGATAGGCAACGTGATTGACAGTTAGATTACCAATGTTGCAATTGGACAGATTGCAAATAATTATAAAACCAAAAAAAAAAAACTTCTCACTTTCTCCCCGACGGGGAATTGAACCTCGGTCTCCCGCGTGACAGGCGGGGATACTAACCACTATACTATCGAGGACCTTGTTTCTCTCACTTTTCCAACCATTCCAAGTCACTGAAAGTATTATCCTGCTTTAAGTATTATTTTCAACTTAAAAAAGAAAACCCATCACCATGTACATAAAGTCAGGCACATTTACATCCGAAATTAATCGGAAAAAAAGGCGAAACGGTGAGATGGAAGGCTTTAAAGCAGCAGGAGCACGAATGAGAATGCCAACGCGGTGTGAAATTGAAGCGGTTTGTGCGATATGCAAATGCAGTTTGGTCCTGTTTTCCGACGTGGTTCCTGGCCATGTCCTGCCGAGTCCTTGACATTTTTTGGTGGCGCCAATGTCCGACCGACCCTGCTCTGCCCGATGCCCGCTGCCCGGTGCTCAGTGCCCCGCGCCATTCGTCAGCATTTTAATCGCGTTTGTGCATTTGCTTGGAAAAGTCTAAAATTGAACGCAAGTGATGGCAATTTGTACGCTTCGCTGTGCCTGAGAATTCGGGAAAACGGAAAGAGGAAAAAGGCTCGAATGCCAATGGGGCCAAGGGGGCGGAAGGTGGCTGCAAAGGGGAGAAAGGACATGCGGCTTGAGGGTTGAGTGTGCCGAAATTAATATGCGTCGGCTTTGGAGCGGGACAAACTTTGCCAGCGAGAGATTTTGGCCGTTGTTGGCCATTTTCTCGTCTTTTTTTTCCCGTTTTTGTTTTCCCCCAGAGCTCTAACCAAAATTTCGCTTCTTGGCCGCCAGCAGCGTTGGCTCGTGATTAATGTGGCAAATGCGCAGTTATAAATTATTTATTACTATTCCTGGCATTGTTTCCCGGGGCGTGTGCGAACGAATTGGTAAGACATTTAAGCCATATTTTCAAGTGCCACAAGAGGTCGAAGTAGCCGCCCTGTCTACGGGTCCCGAACTAGGCGGGGGCTTGTTAAATATTCAAAGCGACGAAATGCCGCAAAAGAGGCCTGTTATCACAAAGTATTTTGTAAGATTTGGCCCCAAAGGGGACTGCCAGACAATGAACTTTCCAAATGTCCAAATGTCTTCATTTATTGGACGTTGATATATTTAATTGTCAGTAATCCATCTTTCCATAGACCCTCTACAGTCTTCTCTCGAACACTAATTCCAAATGAAAACATTAACAAATTAAAAGACAAAGCTTGGCTAATACGTGTTCCTCCTCCTAAAAAAAATAAAACAATCCAATTTTTCAGTTTCCTTCTCTCTATGGCGTGTTTAATTTTTTATTGGAAAAGTTTTGTACTACGGCCGATCTCTCTCAATGGGTGACATTTCCAGCGCTGCAAATTTATTTCGCATGCACTTTTTGAATCGAACAAAAATAGATTCCTTCCGCCATATTGAAACACCATGAAAGCGAGTAGAAAATTCAGGGAGAGCAGGGCGTGGACGTCGTATATTGGTGGAAAAAGCAATTGAAAACTTCATCATGGTTACAACAATATTTTTACAACGAAATTGGCACAAAAATGTTGTCCACGAACTTTTTCCACAAAACGTTAGAAAAACTGGAACTGGTGGAGGGGGGGATACTACATAGGGCTTTAGGGTTTGGGACGGGAGGAAAACTTTTGTGCCAGTTACCGACCACGCCCACTTCAACCCATGACATCAACGCCCTGTCACGAATAAAAACCGAATTGATAACATTTTTCAGCTTGTTCTGGCCATTTTTTTTCTGGTTATATTTAAGCGAGGACTCTGTGGCGTTTTGTTGTTGTTATTTTTTAGTGCACCACCAGCACTAGCAGTACTGCCACCACGACGACGCTGAGGTTTTTTTTATGCGCCGCCTCTGTCCGGGGCAATTTGTAATCTAAACAACATGGCCCGGCTAACCATTCGCTTACCCCTCCTTGAATATCCTTAAATCCTGGCAAGGAAAGCTGGCAAGCCTGGCAAGGGCAACTGGCAGCCAGCAAATGACTAGAGACGTGGCGGGTTTGGGGGGATGTGGTATGTAAAAATGTCGATTTAATATTAGCACCATAAAGGGAAATCAAAGAAAAGTAGAGGGTACAGGCGATAAGTAGGATAAGTGGGTCACTAAGGACATGGCCTAGTAGCTTGTATTAATTAGACTATTTTATTCTTAAGATAATTTTATTCATTTACTATATAGTTTAGATTATATAGGTTTTATAAATGGAGTTTAAATATTTATTCCCAGATGTTTGAAACCAGAACACCCTCCGAAATCAATGGGTACGTAAATGGCTCTCAGCAATAAAGAAAATGGCGGCTGACAACAGCTTCAGGTTGGGTGCTCCTTTTTGGCCAGGATGTGGCAGCTTGTTGATGATAAACTCTTATGACCCACATCGGCGGGGGAGGCGGATGAGGGCGAATGGGCGAGGTGCCAACACATGCACAAGTAAATACAAGTACACGAGCGCGCGCATGTATGTACATGGTGTGTGTGTGTGTGAGGCTGCCAGGCAGCTGCATCCGGCGGAAGTTTGTGGCAACACTTGGTGGCCTCACACGCCGCTGGACCGACATAAGCCCGCGCACACAGTTTCAAGTTAGTTATAAACGTTTATCGATATTATCTATGTATATATCGCCCACCTCGCTCGTCCCTTTGCCTTGGGCGGCAGCCTGGCAAAGTTTTCAGCGGCTGCACAGAATGAAATCCAAACAAATCAGACCAGAGCTCGCAAACTTCACAACATTCTGCCGGCAAAGAATGTCGATTTATGGGTGCCAAGTGGAAATATTATCAAAACTATGACAGAGGCAGGCCACGGGCGGCTGGGTGAGGTGTTTAGGGGCCACGAAGCCAAGATATGCTCGCCCCAAATGTGTTTGTTTATTGGCCAAAATTTTGGGTTATTCCAGTAGCGAAAATAGTTTTCTATTTATGCCGAATCTTTACTGTCAGCTTAGCAGATTCATGGCGCAAGTGTTGAAATGTTTACTGACTGCGGAATGCTTTGAGCAGAAGTATGTTTAAGTTTTTGGAATAAATTCTGGGCCCTTGGCATTGCATTTTTATGCACAAGCAGTCGACCCACTTATGACACCTGGCCTGGCCATAAATAACAATCCAAAATCGAATTCCGAAATATATATGTATGTATATTTCGCACATAATTTACAGGATGGCAGGCCTGGCTACCGAACAATAATAGTAAAAATTTATCATTCCACCTCTCTGTCGAAGTCAAAGCTGAAAAAAAGGGGCCCGCGAAGGATGTAAGCCCGGCATCGCATGATGAATGACAATTTTTACTCGATTTATAGGCCAAAGAGGCAGTGTGATGAGGGCATTCGAAATCAAATACACAGCACCCACTCGAATCCTGGCTGATTTTTTTGCATTTTTCGCCTCCTTTGCAAATGGTGATAGCCCTCAGAATAAAATGGACGATCTGCATACAAAATGCCCATCCACCATAAATTATTTCGCATTCATAACAAAATATAAAGAAAACCAAATAAACGAATGTAAGCGGAGGGCCCTAGAGATTCGTAAAAAAATTTTCACGAAGGGTTCTCTTACTTGTCTGTGGTACACATTTAAAATCAATATATTTTTTATAAATAGTTCATCACTGATACGTGAAAAGAATGTTACTCATATGCCAAAGTTGTATTAATTTTTTTATAAATAGTTTTTAAAATTATTTTATTCAAAATGTTGAAAGAATTTCATCGATTAAGCCCACGTGGCGTATACGTAATTTTTCATTACTCATACGCAGTGTGGTCTTTGCGTAGTTTTCAGAGCGCACTTTCCATCTTTCCGCATTAATGTATAAATAGACATTAAGTTTTAAAAATATTACCTTCTTTTAATAGGTTTTGAGATAACATGGCGTATGAGTTATATTTTATTAAGTATACGCAACGTATTCTCATTAGTTATGTTGATGTCGGCTAAGGTTAACCATTTATGCTTTTATTTCATAAAAGAGATAATTATTCCAGTTTAATTATTAATAGTACTTGTCTTGAGGATACGTGGCGTATACGTAATTTTTCATCACTCATACGCAGAGTATTCAATGGAGTTTTCCAAAGTAACTACGATGTGGATAGTTTGTATTATTTAATAATTATGTGAATAAGCCCTATGACTCCTGAATGTAGAACACATATTTTTAGATAAATTGTGCACTCACCAGCCAGGACAGAGGTGGAGTTGTGGCGGGGGTCGTAGGGGCACACGGCCTGGCCATTCTTTGTGGCCTCCAGCGTGTAGTTGCTCTCGTTGATGATGTACGTGTTGCACATTGGCCGGAAGGAATTGGTGCCGCAGACAAAGAGGCGGCCCGGCGATGTCACAACCATTATGCGGATGTAGTTCTGGCAGGCCTCCTGAAATGCAAAAAGTCATTGTTTAGTGGAAGTTCAGGTCATTTGCGTTTATAAAAACTGACTTAAATATTAGTGAAATGTTCTGTAAGTTGTGCATGTGTGCTTGTGTGGAAATAAAGCCCTTCATAGTGTACAACTGTGTGGAGTGTGCACCTGTGACTCAATAAATATTAAAAGCCAAACGACCAAGTTGCTACCATTTGCAGAAGCCAGTGCGAATGCTCATACGCATAAACGGTGGGAAAAACTTTTCCCACTTTTCGCACAGTCGCGGAAAATTGTTTCCTGACATTTCCGGATGTCAGCCCCCTCCACGCCCCTAGTGCCATCATTATTATAGCCGGAAGTGTTTGCTCTCTGACATGACAAATCATTTGAAATGTTGCCCGACAGTAGTTTTCGCCGTGCACCTCTTGACAGTCTGGCCCAGTTCCTGTACTTGTTAAAATATTTAAATATTTTCCTTGTTTGCTACTAATTTGCACAGTTTTTGAGTGCATTCGTTACAAAAGCAAACAGGCGGCTGTGGTGCAGCATCTATTTGGTTTTTGCCATTTGCCTACGGTGATCCATATGGCATGGCTCTAATTGTCTCGTGAAATAATAGCCAGCAGTTTAATGGAAAACATTGGAGAGGCTGTTCCCAAAAATAAATCCAAAATATATTCCATGGGCTATATTAATTAAAAAGAACAATATGAAAAATGTTTTCGAGGTAATAAAAATTAATTTGGATTTCATTGGCTTCTGAATATTTTGGCCAGTTGAACGTTCAACATTTCATTTAAATTAGTTCAATGTCCAAAAATAGTTAACATGCCGTGGCCTTGTTTTGGGGTGGCCAGTAGTGGCCCACTAGTGAGAGCATAAATTTAAATAAATTAACAAAACAATTACATGACGTCTATAGGCTATGGGCTGTGCAGTTGTAGTACTCATTATTTCTCTTGTAATTAACACGCACAGCAGACACAGGCATTGTTTAGAATGCAATTAACTGTGAAATTTATTAATTTTCAGTCGAAATGCAGGGTCTGCCACTTGCCACATGGCACTGGCCGTTGTTAATAAATAATGTTTGCTTTTAGTGCACCACCATAGTGTTTCCCATACTCGCCACAAACTAAATACAACAATTATTTTATTGTGAAACCATTAAGTTTTAAGCAGAGCTCGACAATTAATAGCAATACCTAAAACATGGCCACAAAATAATTGCCAACATGGTATTGATTTGGGCGAGAAAAAGGTCCTCATAAAGTTGGATGTCGAAGCGACCCTGTAACTCGGATCCTGCCTTCTGGCTGTCTGGCTCTGTCATTCATATTTCATGTTTAACAAGAAAGGAAAGCTAACTTCGGGCGGAGCCGAAGTTGATATACCCTTGCAGCTAAAACCGGATATATATCGCAAACATCGGATATAGTTGGCCGATCCTTATGATTACATCATAATAAAACCAATTAACTAAAATAAAAAATCTAAAAAAAATGTCCCAAACTTCTATCTTCAAAAACACGAAAGTTGGGTCATTTCCGATCGTTCAGTTATATGGCAGCTATAGGATATAGTCGGCCGATCCTATTGAAATTCGGTAGGATGGATCAACTGGCCAAAAATATAATCTGTATTAAGTTTCAGCTTTCTATCTTCAAAAACACGAAAGTTGGGTCATTTTCGATCGTTCAGTTATATGGCAGCTATAAGATATAGTCGGCCGATCCTTATGAAATTTGGCATGTCGTAATGTTTTGCCAAAAATAGCTTTCCTGTAAAATTTGAACTCTCTAACTCTAAAAACACCAAAGTTATACCATTTCCGATCAATCCGTTATATGGCAGCTATAGGATATAGTCGGCCGATCCGGGCCGTTCCGACTTATATACTGCGTGCAAAAGAAAGAAGGGTGTGTGCAAAGTTTCAAGACGATAGCTTCAAAACTGAGAGACTAGTTCGCGTAGAAACAGACAGACAGACGGACAGACAGACGGACAGACAGACGGACAGACAGACGGACAGACGGACAGACGGACAGACGGACAGACGGACATGCTCATATCAACTCAGGAGGTGATCCTGATCAAGAATATATATACTTTATAGGGTCGGAGATGTCTCCTTCACTGCGTTGCACACTTTTGGACAAAATTATAATACCCTCTGCAAGGGTATAAAAATTGTTAAGTAGAATTCCTTGCCCGTCCCCGGTGGTCTGACTGCCTGGGCCCTCGTGTCGTGTTTGTGTATCATTATGAAATTGCCTACCTACAGGCGCTTTGGCGGAAGCCAAAATATTTTCTGTTGGCTTCTGCAAAGAAGTTGTGTTCTTATCGGGCCGGCAATGAACTTTTCCACGTCCATTAACTTGTGACTTTTAAATTATGCCTTTGTTTTCTCAACTTCCCATACTTTTGGCCAATAGTTTAAAAAATATACGGAATGTCTTCGAAATTGAGCAATTACTTTAAATTGCGGTGGAATCAAAGCTTTAAAGGCTGCAAAAAGCTGCTCGTTTGCATGCAAATGGCTAGAAATGAGTGATTTGAATGGAAGGAATTGGGAGCAACCGGGACTAAAGACCAGCAACCCAACCTCGCATTACAAGTGAGATAAATGAGATGTGCTGTGAATGGATGAATAGAGAGATTCGAACGATATCCGACACACTTTTGTGAAGCCATGCCCAACCAGACAGGCCCTGCCAGAGTACTGGTCATCCCGGCATAAATTCACCAGCAATTTGCAAATCGAACAATGGGCTGCTGCAACGCCTCGTCCTCGTTGTGGCCCCGTCTTATATCTTGTATCTCTCTGCTCGGCAAATGCCGGAGAAGCTGCAGAACGGTATGTCATTTGCAAACCAAATCAAATGTTTAATGAGGAAACAGGAGAACGGGTAAATGGCACAGGAGGTGATGCTTTGTGGTTAACTCGACGAGTGATTAAGCTCTCACCAGCACAGTTCTGTTTAATGAGGCCACAAGCCTCCATCTATCGCTCCCTCCATGAGGAAGGAGCGAGGGCATTGTTCCAAGAGGCGTTTCCTCTCCTTTCATGAACTGCCAACTCTGCCACTTATTAAAACAAATACTTTTCGTTTATTTGCTTGACGGTCTACTTATTTTATGCCCCGTGGCCCACTGAACAAATAATATTTATACCCTTGCAGAGGGTATTATAATTTTGGTCAAAAGTGTGCAACGCAGTGAAGGAGACATCTCCGACCCTATAAAGTATATATATTCTTGATCAGGATCACCTCCTGAGTTGATATGAGCATGTCCGTCTGTCCGTCTGTCCGTCTGTCCGTCTGTCCGTCTGTCTGTCCGTCTGTCTGTTTCTACGCGAACTAGTCTCTCAGTTTTAAAGCTATCGTCTTGAAACTTTGCACACACCCTTCTTTCCTTTGCACGCAGTATATAAGTCGGAACGGCCCGGATCGGCCGACTATATCCTATAGCTGCCATATAACTGATTGATCGGAAATGGTATAACTTTGGTGTTTTTAGAGTTAGAGAGTTCAAATTTGACATGTGAGCTATTTTTGGCAAAACATTACGTCATGCCAAATTTCATAAGGATCGGCCGACTATATCCTATAGCTGCCATATAACTGAACGATCGGAAATGACCCAACTTTCGTGTTTTTGAAGATAGAAAGCTGGAACTTAGTACAGATTTAATTCTTGGTCAGTTGATCCAACCTACCAAATTTCATTAGGATCGGCCGACTATATCCCATAGCTGCCATATAACTGAACGATCGGAAATGGTATTTGGTCGAAATATCAACTTTCGTATTTTTGAAGATAGAAGTTTGGGACTTTTTTTAGATTTTGTATTGTAATAAATTGGATTATATATTCCTATTCCCATAAGGATCGGCCAACTATATCCGATGTTTGCGATATATATCCGGTTTTAACTGCAAGGGTATATAAACTTCGGCTCCGCCCGAAGTTAGCTTTCCTTTCTTGTTTTCTTTCATTTTGCCCCGCCACACTTCAATGGTCTCGCTTGCATTTTTTATAAATCGAACATGGCCAGTTTGTGGATGGATTGAAGGGACATACATACGTTTATTGACTGTTCATTTTGGCCATCACCTTGCAATAAAAAAAACAGGGCTAAGGGGCGAATGGGCCTGCGGTGTTTACGCAGCGTTAATAAAATATGGCGGAAAAAATCAATCGATTAAATATATAACACGCGATTGAAAAAAAGTTACTTGACTTTTAACATAATCTGATTTGGCTTGACTTGACACTTTTCAGCTTTTCCATGGCGTGAGTTAAGGCCATATTCCTAAGTTCTAAACTAAATTCTGCTCGGAAAAACCTCTGGCTGATTACCAATTTGATTAAGTTGGCGTATCCAAATTAGTGGCCAAAATGCCAGTTAATTAAAATTGTAAATTTTGAACTTTTCCTTCGTTTCTTTTTGCCAGCCAGGGAATTGCAATTTATTTTTAGAATAAAAACCTTTGTTTGGAAATGGCAAGACGGCACGCCATGACTGCAAATCTAAAGAAACTTTAGATTCCTTTCCCTCTTGGCCAACCTTTTTTGCCATAAATAACGCTAGCCAAAGGCACACAGACATATAAAGTGACCCCACTCGAGTGGAGCCGGCAAGCAAATTGAGTTCAACAAATTACACCTGCTAATGCACGGCTTCGCCTTGCCTTTGTTCCTCGGGTTGGATTTGCAGTTGGTGGCACGGCCAGCCAACAAGTGTTGGCTAATTACGTGAGCAAAAAGCCAAAGCCCGAAGTGCACTTGGGCATGTACAAAAAAAGGGGCGACGAACAATGGGCCAAGTGGCAGGCGGCAAGGTAAGAAGTTGCCCTACACTTTTCTTGAGAATTTTTTTGCTGAAAGTGCATATAACATCTATGTTATATTTTTTGTTTATTAGTTAGATCAAGCAAGTCTTTTATCATATTTTATTAAGAGTTCTCTATCATTCGGGGTCTGGGATAAGGCTGTGTCTGTATAATAGTCCCCCTCCATTATTCTGTAAATCACATGCTCTTTATTTCCTCTTCCGAGCATGCAGGTTAGTTGGCCGGAAACGAGAGGCGCAACTGCGAGGCAGCCACAGAATTATGCAACGCCCAATTGGCAGGCCAAAATGTTTGCCATTTCCATTAGGCGAGAGCGTATCCTCCGCAAACTCAATATACTCCGGTCCCTTTGCTTTTCCAGTACTTTCTTAATAGGTCAACTGCAGAATGCAGTGGCGGAGAGTTTTCAATAAATTTCCTTGATTTCTCGGCCACAAAGAAAGGGGGGGAGAAAAAACAAAAACAGTACAACAACTGCAAAAAAAACGTTGCATAAATCAAATTGTCCTTCTCGGCATTCTACTTTCCATGGTTCCTGGGTAGCGCGGAAAAAGTTAAGATAGATTTTGTGTTAGCAGAGAGTGCTACAGGGAGATGAAAGAGACCAAAGCATTTTATTGCTTTGTTTTTGCATTTCTTTCTTGCAACGGAAGCCGGAGAAAAGTTGAATTCAGAATGGAAATGGGAATGGAAATGGCAAGACCATCGGGCCAAAGTGCTAAAAAGTTGTTAAAATGTGTATTTTGGTTGCTAACTAGCACGAAAATATTATTTCAGGTGTCCTCCCGAAGGATTTAGGGAAGAGAGGAAATTGTCTTTTGCGTTTTCAACTTCCCGAATTGTTTGAATGGCAAATGGGTTCTAGACTAGTATTATTGGTAATATGAATTCGAAGTGGGACATCTAAGACAACTAGTCAAGTAGGGAATTATTTTCAACTTACCTCATCCTTGCCTTTGACGAGACACATCTTGGTATCATCCTCCGGCGATGTCCAGACTAGACGCTGCTGTTCAGTGAGATCGTGTATGCTTAAATTAAAAACCGTATTCCTGCAAAAGACAAACAACGATATGCGATAAGAAAAAGTCCTGGTCAAATGGTCCGCTACAAAGAAAATGAGAATGAATTCCCCCCACTGGTAGAATTTATGCGGTTTTTGTTTTATTATCTTCTCATTGGTTGGTCAATATGCAGGGAAGTGGGGGGGGGGGACAGCTTGTGGTTGTTGAGAATTAATTAAAAAATTAATTAAAATTCATTTGGCCTTTTCGGGATGGAAATCAACACGCACAGCCTGCTATCCTAGCCAGGGACCACAAAAAACCCAGCTCTATGTTTTGCTCCTCTTTTAACCTTTTACCTTCGCTCGGCATCAGTGCGATATTTGTGCAGAAATTCCAAAATTCTCGTTAATAAAATTTTGCACACCCACATGTGGCGTCCGGACGGTGCAACTGCCACCCACAATATGAAGTGGTGAGTACAGGGGCGAGTGTGTCACAGGCTGGCGCTGCCTGCCATTCGAGGTGAGGAGAAATTTCATAAAATCAACTCATTGATTATTGAAACCACAACTACGTGTGGCGCATGTATGCAAGTGTGGTTGCTCTGTACCTTTGTGTGGGTGCTGCAATTTGGTCGAACATTTTATGGCTGCGGTGCCCCCCCACTGGCCCCAAAAACCAGCATAAACGGTCACCTTATCGAACTTTTCCAAATATGTTTGGCATTTCTGCCGTTCCGGCTTGAATGTTGCAAAAAGAGCGGAAAATTTTAAATAAATACATAGATGCGGCGATAGTTAGAGAGTTGTGGTGCTTGCATACACAGAGATTGCGCAATCGTGGAGGCACTTGCATTTGTTTAAAAAAATATATGGTTTATTTATTTCCCACCGATAAGTTCAATTTATTAATGTGGAACCAATTCCACTCTAGATAATTATTAAATATTTTTAAATTGGAAAGGCAGTTATGGCCTTCAATAACGATGATTTGGGTTTTTCTACCAGTTTCAAGCATTTCTTCAGTTAGGATCTACAATATATATGCTGGTCTGCCGAATGACCACCTCTGATTGCAATGGGTTGGGTTACTCCCTGGAAACAGGACATGGCCATTGTTTGGTAATTATGCAGCGCGTTTTAATTATGACAACGGCAAAAGGCAACTTCAAACGAACGTGCACCATCAGCAACATCATCGGCATCAGCAAAGTTGCTGCAGATGCATTCTTCCATTTTCCCGGATGTTACCGCCCGTTGTGAGAGACAACGTATATGTAAGTACATGGAAAACGCGCTGAACCAAATTAGCATATAAAGGGGTCTGGCAAAAGGATGGAACCTGGGGCCATGCCAAAGCAGGTTGTTGCACTGAAACTAACTAAGAAGAGGGACAGGAAACCCTCAATATGGTGATACTATACCCACTATAACCTATAGCTTAAAGATTTTATTAAAATCTATTAGTAAGACTTCTTAAGCATATTTGATTAGAGTATTGGAAGTGCTGACTGAACTCTTTCTTTTTCTGAAAAGTACATCAAAGCCTTCTAAACGAACTCAGAATCGCTGGTGTCGCTCTTGTCACAATTTGTTGTTGCTGGTGTCGCTTGTTGGCTTCCAGAGCACACAAGCACATAAACGCTTTAGCGCATCGGCTAACACACACATACATATTCAACATGCAACATTCTCCAATGCAAACGTTTGTGAAAATGTCGCGGAAAATGCCAAAGTGAGGTAAAAGCTGCAACGGGTGAGGTGGTTGCGGATGTTGCAGGTTGGAGGGGAAATCAGGCAACGAGGTGCAGCAAAGCGGGACGGGGCGGAGAGTCAAGCATTTTAAAGAACGCATTTGGCGTGAAAACCGAGCTCATAAATATTTTCCACACGGCATAGTGTGTTAGTGTTGCAATTGCTGTTGCAGTTGTTGCTGTTGCTGTGGCTGTGGGCTGCCTGCAAGCAGTGAACGCAACGATTACGAAAGGATTTCCACTGCTTTGGTTCCCGTTGTTCTTGTTGCAGTTGCACATTTAGCCCGCCATGTTGTTGCCGCTGCTTTGCAGTTTATTATTATGCAGCTTAAACGTAGTTGGCAAATATAAAGGGAAATGTGTGCGCACTTCCTCTATGAAAACGTTTACATTTAGTGGCGATAATGAGGCGCTGCGATCCCCAGCGAATGTTGCAAATATTTTGCTGCATTGCTCGTTTTGTAAGTAATTTGTTGGAAGTTTAATGACGGGGGCAGGAATCATGGCAACGAGCATATGAAAATATTTAGCCATAGTGTTGTACTGTGTTATTATTCAATATATGTAGACTTCAGAGACAAAAAAGACCTATTTTCAATCATTTCTTTTAAATAAAAATACAAGTTTCTAAGTTCTAACTTTTTAGTATTTTAAGGATATAGTTTAAAGAAATAAATCTAAAAATAAAATTCGGAGTTAACTGAATAGTTTAATAAATGTTGTTGTTGTATGCCAAGTCAACCCTTAACAAAACAATAAATTAGTCAAATCAGGGATAAATACCGGAAACCGGAATTTTTTCCATGTATTTAACATGTTTTATATTTTTGTGTAAACGATAACTAGGCAAATCAGGCAGAACAGCACTTAGAGTGGAAACATGTGATGCCAGACCGAGTTTGAAATATTTGCGGTTTGTGTAAATGCCAAAATAATTCGTGGTTAATGCCAAAATGAGCCAAGTTCGGTTGCGTAACCCCAAATGCGTCCAACTGTTTGATGAGTTGGACACTCTACAATAACTTTAAAGTCAAAACTAAACAATTTGAAGTGAAAAACGGTTTAAAATCCGAGTCTATAATCTACACAAACCTTAAGCAAATAACAAAATGAGTCTGGAACAGCTGAAATTTCCCATTAACATGGTGGCCAAAAACAAATTGTAAATTCATTTAAAGGCCGCTCCGACAAAACAGTCAGCCAAACGGCAATAACAACAACGATAACCAGCAGGATAACAAAACCCGCAGGCCGGACCCTTTTCAAATGGCGTCTGAGCCAAAAGAGGCAACACAAAACAAAAGCCACATGCACATAAATAACGGCATTGTGGTCGAAGAGCCCTCACCAACAGCTCTGTGTATGTGTGTGGGTGGGTGGTTTCGTGGGTCATGGAAGGATCTGTCATAAAATGGATTGAAGCAACCTCCAAGCGAATCAAGACAAAGGCAAGGAAAGAAAATTCATGTCGCCATCGCAACCACCGCCTGTTTCGTGGTTTGACCCACAAAAAGTATCCAATAGAACAAAGTCTGACGAGAAAGTCAGAAATCCGAAACATCAAGAAAAGTCTAGAGACTCAAAACGCAAAAAAAAAAGGAAAGAAAGAAAACAAGACAGACAATCAGAATAAATAACAAGTTGCAAATTACTCATACGCCATATTGTGTGCTGTTGTGACCTTGGTTAGGCCAGAGCTTCTTGTATTTCATTATGAATGGAACGACCACTTAAATGATTGATTTCATTTCCGAGCTGGTTTCTTGGTAATTGACATGTAAATATTTCGAAAATATGCAAATTCAAGTAGCTTACTTTCTTGTGGTTATTATGAAGCAATAAAGACAATTTCACAATTGAAAATGGCCCAATTGGAAAACTTTGTTGCAATTGTGGTTGCCAGTTCTCTTAAGCTGATTATTTGTAAGGATTAAAAATGTGGCATAAAATATTAATTCTCTAAAGAGTTATTCAAGATTTAAAGTCTTCTACTTCTACATTAAAGTGCAGTTCATCATTTCATTTCAGGAACATAAATTCCGTGATTATTGCCAATTGAAATGGCAAATTGCCGGACTGCGTTCATCACGGAGCGCCGGAAAAAGAGGACAGGACACCCACTACCACTGCCACTTGCCACTTGCCACATGCCACTGCCAGTGGCAGGCTGCTTTCAATGTCACACGTCATCAGCGACCCAAAAGGAATGCCCAAAGGCAATCAAAGAAAAGAACACTCGCCTTCCGGAATGCATTGATGCGTTGATGCCTTGATGCCGATGCAGCAAAGTTGAGGGGCGTTCGGAGGCAGGATGGGCGTGGCTGGGACCGGGACCAGGACCGGGGTCGTAGTTGACATAACGGTAAATGGCTTTTCTGAATAGCTAAGCAAATCAGGCGAACTTCTCATGTTTCTCTATCGATGCTTTCCAGTGGGGCGAAAAATTTATGCTCCTCGCCGCCATTTGCATGCTCTCGGTATCCCTTTCTCTCTCTCTGCACTATGTGTGGCAACCATTGCGAAAAAAAAACAGAAAAATATCCTCAATGTGCAGTAGGGAAGGAGATCCTTTTTGCCCACACAAAGCACCCAACTCATCCATCACCATTTCGAGTTGAGCTTTTGTCATTTTTCATTGACTTTTTGACTGTGCTAGGGATGCGGCTTCAACTTTAACTTCATTCCACATCACTCGATGATGCTGACTAAGCCAATTCAGGATTCAGGACACAGATCGGAATTCCGAATTCAAAGTTACACTCGAATAATATTCTTTCAGGGCAAGATATATATTTAAGGAAACACATATATCTTTTAACAACAATGATTTTTTTGTAAATAATATTTGATTTCTTTTAGTTATAATCCAAATTATCATTTTAGGTCCAACTTTTTCTCTTTAAATTGGTATGTTAGAGAATAAACTATGGCCTTTTTGTGCAACAAGCCCGGCCAAAAGCATATCAACTGACGTCCTCCCCTGACGTTTCCTCAATAGAGGCACAAAATGTCGAAACTGTCAAATGCCAAAAGACGAAACGTGAATGGCCCGATCTGAGTCCCGGGCTTAGTTGGTTATTGCTAAATTCTGTGCCCCCCTGGAGCCGCTCTTCGCCACCCATCAAACCGTTTAGCCAGGTGGTTGCATTTAACCCCCAAGCCATCCTGCCCCTCGGCCATCACAGGTGAGGAGCGTTTGTTCCCGGCTTTGGGCAAAATGACACTGCCAATGGCATTCCATCATTCAAAGTGTGTGGTCTCATAAGCAAGATTAAGCCCCGACCTCCTTGCC